TAAAATATTTCCTGGCTACATCTGTATATTTAGGGTTTTTGTTGTATTATTGTTGTTGTTGTTGTTGTTACGCTTTGACACTGGAATGAGTTGCAAAAAAAATGTGCCACTTTGCATTTTCATGTACTCATTTAAATAATTTCATTCCTAAATATCCAAGCTCTCCGCACTACCTGCTCTCAGTAGTGCCTTTTCCCAGGCTTGACAATACACAGGTGTGACTCTAAATCATGAAACAGAGAAAAGGGAGGGGAAGCCCCAAACTGCTGTGGGGACATTTTATAATCTATATGCTGCACCCATGAACTCAACAGTGGTGTTTTCTTCATTGGTTTTACATAATTTCACCTCTATATATTATATGTGTATATATATATATTTTTAAAAATCTATATTTTGGGAAAAAAAGTATATACAGTATGTCTTTTCAGATTTTTTTACTTTTATGAAAAAGAAAACACCTGAAAGGCTCATCAGGATGTGACTGACTAGGCCAGGAACAGCCTCTGTGGCTTCCTAACTGTTGTCTCCATCCGTGTGTCGTTCCTTACCCAGATGTGAGCAGCTGGAAGAGCTGCCTCCAGCTGTTTGGTTTTGTTTCCCTTCTTCTGCAGACAACCCCGGTAGTGGACTAAGCCACTGCAGCAGCTAAACTAACTGATCTACAGCCCTCCTTTATACGTTTGTGGGTTTTTTTTTTTTACTGTATTTTTTAATGAATGTACGATGAGAAATTCAACATGAATAATTTTGAATTTTCTTATCACAAAAAGATAAAACGAAGGACCTCAACATACAAAAGAGTTTATCAGCCAGTCTGAGTCTGTCTTCACTTGAATGTTTGAGAATATGTAAAAAGGAATTAAATGCCCCTTCCTGTGGCATGCATGATAAGAACTTCTGTCTTTGTATATATGAGCCTTTGCCATACTCCCCCTCAAGATTATCCACGGCGTTTGACGAGTGAACATTAAACAAATCTGTTACCAGTTGACATTTTTGGTCAATAAAACCACAGGAAATTATTTCACAAACAAAATATGTAAAGCAGTATTAAAATCTGAGTTATGTATCTACTTTAATAAATAGGTTCTGTTGTTTTGTTTTTCTGCCAGCGGTAGCAAACGCATATTCTTGGGATTATTTGTCTTTTTTTTCTTTAAGTAAGAAAGCTCTTTGAAGTGAGTGGCGGTGGTGCACGCCTTTAATCCCAGGACTCGGGAGGCAGAGGCAGGCGGATCTCTGTGAGTTTGAGGCCAGCCTGGCCTGCATGGTGGGTTTCAGGACAGCCAGGGCCACACAGAGAAACCCTGTCTAGGAAAAAAAAAAAAGCCCTTTAGATCCAAAAGGCAGTCTCTTGCCCCCACAACCACCACCACCACTAAGCCATGCTGACAGCTTTGAAAACACATCTTTCACTTCAATAAAACAACTCGCTAAATAACTATAAGAGATTGGTGTGTCCAGCTGGACCCTTTGGAGGCAGAGACATAAGGGTTAGAAACTCAAGGCCATCCTTGTCTACATAACAATTTAGAGGCCAGCCTGAGCTACATAAGACCCTGTCTAAAAAGAGAAAGAGAAACAAACCTGGTATGTCCTGAATGTTAGGCCTTGGAAGTTATTGATGGAGTTGCTTATAAGAATGTCAGCAATGTTAGCTGGGTGGTGGGGGCATACACTGTTGATCCCAGCACTTGAGAGACAGAGGCAGGTGGATATCTGAGTTCAAAGCCAGCCTGGTCAACAGAGTGTGTTCCAGGATAGCCAGGTCTACACAGAGAGACCCTGACTCGACAAACAACAAAAATGTCAGCAGGAGTCAGTGTTAACAGTGCTGGCCCAACATGCACAAGACCTGAGTTCAATCCTTAGCACCACACACAAATGCCAACAGCAGCATCCTGAGATTCATGGATTTGGACATTAGGAATGGTGTAGCTTGCTTGGGAATGATGCTGCCCATCACTGAAACAAGGAAAAGATACCTAATCCCTGCACTGGGGAGGTAGAGGCAGGAGGATCAGAAGTTCAAGGTCTTTCTTGGCCATATAGCAAGTTTGAGGCTAGCCTGGGCTACATGAGAGACAACCTGTCTGGGAAGAAAAGAAGCTGGGGAGATAGCTCAGTCGGGATATGGGTTTGTTCCCAGAACCCACCAAGTTGAGCATGGTGGCACACACTTGTAATCCTAGAACAGGGGAGATAGATAGGCAGGCCGCTAGGGGCTAGCTGACCAGCTGGCCTAACCTATTTATGTTTTAAGTCAATGAAAGAATTTTACAAAGGTTGATGGCACCTTAAGAATGACACCTGAGGTTGTCCTCTGTCCTGAGCATGCCCTGCGTGTGCACACACAAATACCAGGTGCTAGTAGGCTTTGGTCTATACGGTACCACTGTTAACAAGAAGATAGGATGCTGCACGCTGAGGCGATGTAGTGGATTTTGGGAACTGGGGAGACAGGTGGAGACATCCTGACTGAGGCTGGTAGTTGGACAAGAGTTCAAACCCAGCCTGGACTATACGATGAGACCCTGTCTCAAGGTAGGGGCAGGGTATACAAAGATTGAAAATGATTCCAACTCAAGAGTGAGAGGGTCCTAGACCATACAACCTCTTGGAAGGATCCTGGGCTTCCAAGTGACTTCATGAAACACCACCAACTGATTCTGTTCGCACCAGAACATGAGAGACACATTTTTTTTCTTTTTAAAGAAGAATCAAAATAAGTCATGTGAGGTATCCATCTGTCACTTTAGTACTTAGTAGGTGGCTCAAGAATTCAAGGTTATCCTCAGCTCCATAATGAGTTCAACACCAGCCTAGACTACATGAGGCCCTGTTAGGAGCTGGAAAGAAATAACTGATCTTAATCTGAAAGCATTTTGTGAACCATTGAGAAATTAAATGTTGTGGGTAATCCACTGATTTATCACAGCATATTAAAAAAAAAAAAAAAAAGTGGGCTGGGCGGCGGTGGTGCATACCTTTAATCCCAGCACTCGGGAGGCATAGCCAGGCGGATCTCTGTGAGTTCGAGGCCAGCCTGGTCTATAGAGGGAGATCGAAGACAGGCACCAAAACTACACAGAGAAACTCTGTCTCGAAAAAACAAAGAAACAAACAAAAGGTGTAAGATAAATGGGAGTGACAGGATGGGGGATGGGAGCAGATATTCTACACTCCGTATCGTAAAGAGGAATCTGCACATACATGTTATTGCTAGCTTAGCACACACCATTAACAGCTTGCTTGATTTGCGCTAACTCTCCAGATGGCCGTGGAGGACACAAAGTCCAAGTTGGCTGACTCAGCTCAGGCATCCAGATGTTAAGAGGTAATGTGGTTGGCACTGAGCTCTCAAACAATTGACAGCCCTGTGTCCTTCCCCCACTCCCTGCCGCCAACAGGCCTTCTCAGATCCCTGGCTCCCTGAATAAAGCCCAATTCTTGGGCTGGAGAGATGGCTCAGTGGTTAAGAGCATTTGCTGCTCTTCCAGAGGTCCTGGTGGTGGTTTCCCAGCACCCATGTGGCAACTCACAACTGCCTGGAAGTCCAGTTCCAGAGTGTCTGATGCCTCTGTGGGTACCTGCACTCACATGCACATATCCACATACTATCCTCCTCATCTGCCTCTCAAGTGGTGGGATTATAGCCATGTGCCACTCTGTCTTCTGCTTAGTAATCCACATACCTTTATAAACTCTCAAAAAGGATAGCTACTGAACCTGTTGAGTGCTCACCTTTGAACATCTGCTCTATGACTACTTCCTCTACACAATTTTTTTCAAAAACACCATCTTAAAGTAGATAACACCCTGCAACAGAAATTCTCAACTTTAGCATTCATTTGAGGTGACTGGGTGATTGTGGGGGCTAGAGAGCTGTCATAGCAGTCATCAGTGGATCTGGAGCTGGGGTTGCAGATGTGTGTGAGTAACCATGAGGGTGCTGGAAACCTAAATCCCGTTCTCCGGAACAGCAGCAAGTACTCTTGACCGCTAAGCTGTCTCTCTCTCTCTCTCTCTCTCTCTCTCTCTCTCTCTCTCTCTAAGACTTATTCATGTACAGTGTTCTGCCTGCATGTATACCTGCACACCAGAAGAGGGCGCCAGATCTCATTACAGATGGTTGTGAGCCACCATGTGGTTGCTGGGAATTGTGGGAATTGAACTCAGGACCTCTGGAAGAACAGTCAGTGCTCTTAACCGCTGAGCCATCTCTCCAGCCCTTCTTTTTTTTTTTTTTTTCTTTTTTTTTTTTAATGTGTTCACCTGAATGTACATATGGACCCTGTGTGCCTACAGTGCCCTCGTAGGTCAGAAAAGGGTATTGGATCCCCTGGAACGAGAGTTGCAGGTGGTGGTGGACCACACACCTGATCCTCTGGAAAAGCAACAGGTGCTCTTCACTGCCATTTCTCCCGGCCCATTTAAATTGTCTGTTTCTTTGGAGACAGGGTCTCACTGCCTAGCCCTAGTTGTCCTGGAACTCGCTTTGTTGACCAGGCTGGCCTCGCACTTACAGAGATCTGCCACTTTTAACACTAGACCGGGTGCGGTAATACACACTTGGTGGTTGAGCCCCAGGCATCATCTTACACCAGTATTTTAGCCACAAAGACAGAAGGGTGGTGCCTTTTAAACGTGACAAATAACATCGAATTCTTAAAACACACTTTTAAACGGCGGCGTGGTTTCGCAGGCCTTTAATCCCAGCAGTAGGGAGGCAGAGGCAGGCGGATCTCTGTGAGTTCGAGGCCAGCCTGGGCTACAGAGCGAGATCCAGGACAGCCAGGGCTACGCAGAGAAACCCTGTCTCGGGAGACTTAAAACAAAACCCCGCACTGTTCAGCGCCCACCAGTCCCAGAGGCACAGTGGGAACACACCCCGGTAACATCCGCCCGGCGCGCACACAGCGGCGGAATCTCCCTTCCGGCGAGGGGGGGGGGCGGTAAACGTGCGTCAGCGAGTCCGGTCACGTGGGCGGCCCGCCACGTGACCGCGGCGGCGCCTGGGACCCGCCGGCGGCCGGGGCAAGATGGCCGCGCACCTGTCGTACGGCCGAGTGAACCTGAACGTGCTGCGCGAGGCCGTGCGTCGCGAGCTGCGCGAGTTTCTGGACAAGTGCGCGGGGAGCAAGGTGAGGGGCGGGCGAGGCCCGGCGCCTCCCTGCCGGAGCCCGGCGCGGCTGGGCGAGGCCCCGGGCGGGGGGGGCCACCGGGCCGCTGCTCGGTGACCCGCGGAGCGAACTCCCGTCCCCCAACCCCGAGCTCTCCCGCCTGCGAGGACGGCGCCCCTTCCAGTCCTGAAGCACCCACGCCCCCAGCTCCCTCCACACGCGTCGGGAGACGAGGGTGGAGTTACCTGAAACTTTATAACTCGGGTCTTTAACACGGATCGTTTTTGCCTGTTCAAGCCCCCCGCTTTCGAGGGAGGCGGGCTAGGTCGGGGGACGGTGACATTTCCGTCCCCCTTTTTCCTCAGTGTTAGTTTGAGGCAGAGTCTCGCTCTGTAGACCAGGCTGGCCTCGAACTCACCGGGATCCACCTGCCCCCTGCCTCTTGAGTGCTGGGATTAAAGGCGTGTGCACGGCTCTCCATTTTATATTTGAGTCAGTTCCTGCCAATATAGACTGTTTCTGGTTGTGTAACCCAGGTTAGCCCCAACTCCTCATTCTCTTGCCTCGGCCTACCAAGTTCTGGCATTACAGACATGAGCCATCATTTGCCTAGCCATGAGACTTTGTTTTCAGCCTTATTCTTTCTCTATTCTGAGATTTACGAATCATCCCCCACTCCCCTCTAGGGAACTGTCAGTACTAATCTAAAGAGAAAAATAAAACGGAGGCGCTTAAAGAACACGTTTTGGAAAAAAAAAAAATGGGGTCCCAATTGCGATGGTTACTTCCTGCTATTGAGTCAGGAAGGCAGATTAAATTACAGGGTCCCATATTAGATAAAAAACGATGCCGAAATTAGATAGATATGATAGATTGTATGCACAGCAGGATTATGGCTGTGGTATTATAGTTTTACTAAGTGTCACTCCTGGAGGAAGCAGGGATTACTAACCCCAGTATCATATCTGCCCCTCATGAAAATTTTATTTAGACTCTTAGGCTATGAATATGATCAGAGCCTGTAAAAATCTTAACTCCAAATTTTAAGAAAAGATTCCCTGGAGCTGGAGAGGTGGTTCAGCGGTGAAGAGGGAATGCTCCTCTTCCAGAGGAACCAATTCAGTTCCCGGCATCTACAGTGGGCAACTGAGAATCACCATAACTCCAGATCCAGGGGATCTGACCCTTCTCGCCTCTGAAGGGAACTGCAGTCCCAGCAGATACCCAAGGATAAACACACACAGCTGCACATAATTGAAATAAAGTAAAAGGGGAGTGGGACGCAGGGAAAAATAATCCTTAAGAATATATTCCTACTGTGTGTAACTGCCATTTTCTGTTGCTATTGTTGGAATTCCTGAGAATATCTGAAATAAGGGAGCATGTTTCCTCTCTTACAGGCAATTGTGTGGGACGAATACTTAACAGGACCATTTGGACTGATTGCACAGTATTCACTACTAAAGGTAATGTGCCGTGTGGGATTTGTTCAAGAATTAATAATTAATTGAACATAATATTGGTAATGGGATTTTTGCATATTTTCCTGAATAATCACTTACAAAGCTATTTGATCTGTACAAACGCTGATATTAATACATGGTTAACATTCTTCGTAGAGGGTGTACTTGCCTAGTATGCGCAAGGCCCTGGAATTGATGTCTGGCATCAGAGAAGAAACAGAAACAAAAAAATATTTCGCACACAGCACTGTCTTGTGTGACCGTGACCTGGTGCCTTTGATGGCTTATTATGTCAGGAGTTTGACTGCCATGCAGAAACAATAGCTTTCTTTATCTTGGAACTTGGTCCTTTATGTGATTTAATTATTTATAAATAATTATGAGTTATTATTAAATCTGAAGATGACAGAGGATTTCTACTATGCTTCCCTAGGAACATGAAGTGGAAAAAATGTTCACACTTAAAGGAAGTCGTCTGCCGGCAGCTGATGTCAAGAATATCATTTTTTTGGTCAGACCCAGGCTAGAATTGATGGATATAATTGCCGAGAATGTGCTCAGGTATCTCAGAGCTTTGCGGTTCAAAAGGAGTTGGGCTTTAAAAGGTTTTTTTAGACTTATTTATTTACTTTGGAGGGTGGGTGTGTGCCATGGTGCCTATGTGGAGGTCAGAAGACACCTGGTGGGAATGGGTTCTCTTCTTCCATGGAGGTCATCAGGTTTGACAGTAGGTGCTTTCCCCTGCTGAACTTTTCCTGCCCAGGAGTTGTTTTTATAGTGGTCTCAATGTTCTGAGTACCTTTGCCCTGTAGCACCCCCCTGCCAGACTGTTGGAAGGCCATCTTTTTGAAGAGAAGGGCCAGACACGGAAGAATATTAGGAGAGAGGCGGGAGGCTTGTAAGAATGCTCTGAATAGCTTGAGGGAAATAACTTGCCTATCTCAGGATAGCTAAAAGTTCAAACCTGTATCAGCAGAGAGAAGCCTGCCTTAAAAAAACACAGCAACCAAAACCTCTGATGGTCATTTTTTTTTTTCTCAGAATGCCAGCTGTGGTGTGCTTGAATTTCATAAGCAAAATAAGTAAGACCTGATTAAAGTTTAATGTTGAATCCCATCTATAGAGGAAGCTCTCGGCACAGGCTGCACTCTGCGGTACAGTTGACCGATGCAGCTCCTCAAAGCTGGGCTTGCATACGGGCTAGTTTTGGAAATCCACAAACAAGAATAGAAAGTGGGAGTCGGGAGTTAGTTCTCATTTTAATAGAAGACCGTTGTGTGAAACTGGGTTGCTTAAAGGAGCGTGTGCTTTCAACAAAACACAAATTCCTGTTGTGAGAGCTGGGTTGTTTACTTCTCTCTGTCTCTGTCCTGTGTCTTTTTCTGTCTCTATCTTTCTCTCTGTCTCTGTTTTTTTTTTTTTTTTTGGTTTTTTTTTCGAGACAGGGTTTCTCTGTGTAGCTTTGCGCCTGTCCTGGAACTCACTTGGTAGCCCAGGCTGGCCTCGAACTCACAGAGATCCGCCTGGCTCTGCCTCCCGAGTGCTGGGATTAAAGGCGTGCGCCACCACCGCCCGGCCTGTTTTTTTTTTTTAAGTGATTTTTTTTAAAAGATTTATTTATTATGTATACAGTGTTCTGCCTGCATGTATGCTTGCAGGCCAGAAGAGGGCACCAGATCTCATTATAGATGGTTGTGAGCCACCATGTGGTTGCTGGGAATTGAACTCTGGACCTCTGAAAGAGCAGACAGTGCTCTTAACCTCTGAGCCATCTCTCCAGCCCCAAGTGATTTATTTTTATTTTATGTGCATTGGTGTTCTGCCTGCATGTATGTCTCTTGGGGCCCTGGAACTGGAGTTACAGACGGTGGTGAGCTGCCATGTGGGTGCTGGGAATTGAACCCAGGTCCTCCGGAAGAGTAGCCAGTGCTCTTAACCACTGAGCCATCTCTCCAGCCCCCTCTGTTCTTTTTCTGTCTGTCTGTGTGTGTGTGTGTGTGTCTGTGTCTGTTTATGTGTGTAGGCCAGAAGAGGGTTTTGGATCCCCTGGAGAGCTGGAGTTACAAGCACTTTTGAGTCATATGATGTGGGTGCTGTAATCAATGTTTAATTAACAATTTGGGTACAAGAGTCTGTTTTTTTTTAAAGATTTACTTATTTTTATTTTATGTGTATGAGTATTTGGCTGCACATATATATGTGCACTGTATACATGCCTGGTGCCTGTGGAGGCCAGAAGAGGGCATTGGATACCTTGGAACTGGAATTGTAGATAGTTGTGAGTTGCCATGTGGGTGCTGGGAACCAAACTGGTGTCCTCTGGAAGAACAGCTAGTGCTCTTAACCTCTGAGCCATCTCTCCGGCCCCGTGAGAGTCTGTCTTTATGTGTTTCCTTAAGCAATGTTTGTTTAGCGCCTGCCAGGCAGTGGGGATGAAATAAGAAAACCTCTGCCCCTAAGGAGTGCATTAGCTAATGATGGTTACTTCCTTTGCAGTGAAGACAGACGGGGCCCTACCAGGGATTTCCATATTTTGTTTGTGCCCCGCCGGAGCTTGCTGTGTGAGCAGCGGTTGAAGGACCTGGGTGTTTTGGGATCCTTTATCTATCGAGAGGAATACAGTTTAGATCTCATTCCGTTTGACGGGGACCTCTTATCCATGGAATCAGAGGATGCATTCAAAGTAAGGTTGACATTTCCTTAATATCAAACTTCTATTTTTTTTTTTTTTTTTGGTTTTTCGAGACAGGGCTTATCTGTGTAGCTTTGCGCCTTTCCTGGATCTCACTCTGTAGACCAGGCTGGCCTCGAACTCACAGAGATCCGCCTGCCTCTGCCTCCCGAGTGCTGGGATTAAAGGTGTGCGCCACCACCGCCCGGCAAACTTTTATTTTTTAAAGGCAGGGTTTCAGTGTGTGGCCCTGGCTAGCCTAGAACTCACTATATAGACCAGGCTGCCCTAAAATTCACAGAGATTTCACTTGCCTCTGCCTCTGAGTGCTGGGATTAAAGTCGAGCACCACCATGACTGGCCTGCAGACTTGCATTTTTTCTTGGGCCTATTGCTAGAAATGTCATGCTCCGCTTCATTTGCATCTGTGGTGAGGCCCGCCTCACATGTTTACTCACGTCCAGTACGTTCTCTGTGGGAAATTGCTTGCTCATTTTTCCCGCCTGTTTCTCCTCATCCTCATTCTCTTCCTTTTTGTGTGTATGTGGCGTGTGTGTTTGCAGAAGAGGACATCCTGCAGCATCACTCTCTGTCTTAGTCCCTTGAGACAGGGTCTCTCCCTGAACTGAAGGTCAGACTAGTCGCCAGCAGGTTCAGACATCCTCCCATCTGTGCCCACAGCTCTGGGCTTACACAAGTGCCTGTTCCGTCATTTTGACACGTGTGTGGGGACTTGAACCCAGCAACTTAGGCTTAAACAGCAAGAGCTCTTAACTACTGAGCCGTCTCTCCAGACAGCTCCTCCCCACCCCACCCCATTTTTCAAAAGGGTGGCCTTGCTCCGTAGTCTGTGATTTTCTTACCTGTCATCCTCCTCCTCAGCCTCCTGAGTGCTCAGATTATGGACCTGCTGGCTCCCATTGTTCTTTTTGTTTTTGATATTTTGTTTAATGTTCATTTATGGACACAATGTATTTGACTCAAATCTATTTTGCTATTTTAGGAGAAGATCTCATGTAGCCCAGGATGACCTTGAACTCCTGATCCTCCTGCTTCTATTTCCCAAGTGCTGGAAGTGCAGATGTGTATAACTATACCTGGCTGGTTCCAATTTTTTTTGTTTTTCAGGAATTATTTATGTATTTAATTATTTATTTTTGGTTTTCTGAGACAAGGTTTCTCTGTATAGCCCTGGCTATCCTGGAACTCACTCTGTAGACCAGGCTGGCCTTGAACTCACAGAGACACAACTGACTCTGCCTCCCGAGTGCTGGAATGAAAGGAGTGCGCCACCACATCCGACTAGGAATTCTTTTTTTTTTTCAATTTTTTTAAATTTATTTACTTTTTGTTTTTTGTTTTTTGTTTTGTTTTTTCAAGGCAGGGTTTCTCTTGTGTAGTTTTACGCCTTTCCTGGAACTCACTTGGTAGCCCAGGCTGGCCTCGAACTCTTGGAGATCCGCCTGCCTCTGCCTCCCGAGTGCTGGGATTAAAGGCGTGCGCTGCCGCCGCCGCCGCCGCCACCACCACCACCACCACCGCCGCCCAGCAAATTTATTTACTTTTATTTTATGTGCATTGGTGTTTTGCCTGCAGGTCAGATCTTTGAATTACAGACAGTTGTTAGCTGCCTTGTGGGTGCTGGGATTTGAACCCGGGTCCTTTGGGAGAGCAGTCAGTGCCCTTAACCACGGAGCCATCTTTCCAGCCCAGGAATTCTTTATATAATACTTTAGCCTTATTTTCATCCACATGCTGTAAAATTCACTCCTTTATTTTTCAGGATGTTTTTTCTTTTGATTCTTCTTTTTTTTTTTTTTTGTGGTTGTTTATGGGTTACAGGTATTCTGTCTGCAAGTATGATTGTGTGCACATGTGTTTCTGGTGTCCACAGAGGCCAAAGGAGTGGTCAGAGTTATAAATGATTGGGAGCTGCTGTGGATGCTGGGAATTGAACCCAGGTCCTCTAGAAAAGCAGCCAGTGCTCTTAACCACTGATCCCATCTCTCCAGCCCAAAATTTACCCCTTTAAAGTCTTGAATTAAACACCTACTATCCCAGCACCTGGGAAGCTGAGAGAGAAGGATTGAGAGGCTGAGCCCAGCTTGACCACAATAGGGAAACTTTAAAACAAAGAGAGAAAAGAAAACAAAAACCCCAATAATGAAAGCAGTAATTTGAAAGTTTTGTAAATAGCTGGGCATGGTGGCACACACCTTTCATCCCAACAGGCAGATGCAGGTGGATCTCCTTGCCTGGTCTGTATAGTAATTTCAGTATAGCCAGAACTACATAGTGAGACCCTGTCTCAACCCTGCCCTGCCCCCCAGAAATTTGTAAATTTAAGTCACTCACATAGTACTTTTTAAGTTAGAAAGGACACAGAGTAATCAGGAGGCCATTTTCCCCTGGGTCTCAGACCTCTTTGCAGAGGTCCTACCGAGCTTACCTCTCCTTCAGTTTTAGTGGGTTTTAAGAATTCTTCTAATTTCTTTTTTTTTTTTTTAAGATTTGTTTATTATGTATACTGTGTTCCGTTTGCATGTGTCCCTGCAGGCCAGAAGAGGGCGCCAGATCTCGTTACAGGTGGTTATGAGCCACCACATGGTTGCTGGGAATTGAACTCAGGACCTCTGGAAGAGCAGCCCCTGCTCTTAACCTCTGAGCCATCTCTCCAGCCCAAGTTCTTTTTCTGACAGGCTTTCTGCAGCCCTCACTCATAGCACATACACTATTCTGTCTGTCTGTCCCCCAGGTTTGAGGCCTGAGAGCTCTGACTGAAGTTAATGGCAGCCCCAGTTCTGATGGTGTTTACATGATCCTAAATAGTCCAGCACCATTTGGTGTTTCATAGCTCCTGGAGAGACGTCTAGATCTTTGCGTGCTTCTGGCTTTATTGTGTAGTGTATAAAATCTGAGATGGTGCTCACCCTACTGAACGTTCATTGTCAGCACAGTGTTAGCACTTTCATTTTAGTAACTAAAAACTGCTATATCTGAAATCAGACAGCCTAGTAAAAAGCTACGGAGCTTCTGTTGTGTGGGTGAGTAAGTTTGGCGCCCAAAGTATGAGCTTTTAAATATTGATGTGTAGTAGCATTCATCCTAAAATGTCCTTGTAGCTTGAAATGCCACGTGGGATTCCTTGTGCAAGGAGTGGGCTGTTAATGCATAGGATTCCCTCACTGTTCTGGTAGACAAGGACCTCAGCTGGCCTAGTGCTGTTTCCAGTGAGTAGCCAATACGATCATCATTCAGGGTTAAGTCTGTTGTTACTGGAGTGTAGCTCAGAAGTGGAACAATGTGCTTGAGGCTCTGGGTTTCATTCCCAGAACTACCAAAAACAAGAAAAGGAAATGTGGAATGCCAGGTTTAGTGACGCACGCCTTTAATCCCAGCACTCGGGAGGCAGAGGCAGGTAGATCTCTGAGTTTGAGGCCAGCCTGGTCTACAGAGTGAGTTCCAGGACAGCCAGAGCAACACAAAGAAACTTTGTCTTCAAAACCCAAACAACGACAACAAACCAACGAAAACCCTGTCACTAGTTTGGATATCTTTTTTTAAGGTAGAATTATAAAAGGAGAGTGTTTGTAGTGATGCAGCTTTTTTTTTATTTATTTATTATGTCCTGCATGTTTGCCTACCCGTCAGAAGAAGGCACCAGATTTTATTATAGATGGTTGTGAGCCACCATGTGGTTGCTGGGAATTGAACTCACGACCTCTGGAAGAGCAGCCAATGCTCTTAACCTCTGAGCTGTCTCTCCAGCCCGTGATGCAGCTTTTTAAGATGAAATGAAACGAGGGTTATCATATTCTCTCACTTCGAAGTGTTCCAGAGCGTGTATCTCATGGCATTCTTGTCCTGGCTGTCGTGCTGGGGAAAGGTTAAAAACAGCAACCACAGAAGAGTCACTGATGGCGCTCAGTGTGAAGCACAGAGTCCTGTGATGTCTTTGCTGAGACAGCCCCGTTCCTGCTCAGAACCCCACCATTCCCTCTCAGCCCCTGGCTCTTGCTGTTCTCTTGCTTCTAGCTTTGAGTAGCACTGGGGGCCTTGGGACAAAAAGTACCATTTTTTTTTAGATAGGGTCTCACTGTATATCCTTGGGTGGCTTGGAATGCTCTATAAACCAGGATGGCCTTGAACTGGGGGATCTACTTGCCTCTCCTGAGTCCTGGGATTAAAGGTGTGTGCCACCAAGCTGGACTACAACAGAAAACCATTTTGACTGTTTTCGTTTCATGTTTTTCATTTTTATCTTTGTTTATCTCCTACGGGGTCTCATGTAGCTCAGGGTGGCCCGGGACTCCTGTCCTCTGCCCATCCTTCTGTACCGCTACCCCCAGCCACTATTTTGACTTGTAAGTGGATGGTGATTGTAAAACAGTCCCAAGGAAATGATGGCCCCCCAAGTAACTGGCCTTTATCTCCACAGGAGTGCTACCTGGAGGGTGACCAGACAAGCCTGTACCACGCAGCCAAGGGGCTGATGACCCTGCAGGCGCTGTATGGGACCATCCCCCACATCTTTGGGAAAGGAGAATGTGCTCGGGTGAGAACCCCGTTTCCTGGTTGTATCCAGAAGAGTGGTCGAAGAGGGGAGCTCCAGAAACGCAGCTAATCCTCCTCACTCTTGCGTTCCGTATTAAGGACTTTGTCTCTTCCTTGCGGTTCATATATCACTCTCCAGTTAGTACTCACGCACTGGACATGTTAGCAGAGGTGACCGAGGTGACGGAGGTGACAAGTGTCTCTTTCACGGTCCGTTTAGAGTCGGGCTTTTCACACCTTTGCACTTGTTGGTGGTTTTGCTGTTTAAACGCATCCTAAGCATGGTGTGAGGTGTGTAGTGTGACATACAGCGAATGTCGGGCATCAGCTAAGTTCCATGTGGGCCAGAGTCACAGCTCTTAGCCTTCCGTCCTGTATGAATGACTCATCACAAAGGCATGACATAAGGTTTGGTATTGATCTATTGATAAAAGTTGTGATGAGTCTGGAATGATGGCTCAGTGGTTAAGAGTATTTCTTGCTCTTCCCGAGGACCAGGTTCAATTCTCAGCACCCACATCGAACAACAGTCACCTGTACTTCCAGATTCGGGAGATCCGATGCCCTCTTCTGACCAACTTAGGCACTGTACTCATGTACACTGTACTCACAAAGCCATGCCCAGAGACACATATACGCATAAATAAAAACGACTAAATCTTCTTTAGATTTACTTTACTTTATATGGGGAGAGATTTATGTGCATCTATGAGTTTATGTGTAGCCACGTGGATGCAGGTAATCCGTGAAGGTCAGAGGTTGGATGGATGGATTCTCTGCAACTAGAGTTACACATGGTTGTGAGCCACGATCGGGGCTGGAACTGAACCCAGGTCCTCTGCAAGACCAGTAAGTACTCTTAACCACTGAGCCTTTTCTCCTGTCCTATTTATAGTAATAATTAAATCTAAATAAATAAATAAATAAATAAATGAAAGCTGGGTCCAGAGGCTCACAGGTAGCTGTGTTTCTCTCGGGAACAGAGAACAGCCCCTTACTTCACCGTCTCCAGAGACCGTAGAGTGGAGCTGCCTCATGTAGCAGAGGTCGCTGTGTCTGATAGCGTGTCTGACTGGGGCCCAGGGGTTGGGGTGGTGGTTAACCGCGGGTGCTTGTGATCGCTGTTTATTTCAGTACCAGTCCGGCCCAGCAGCTTCTCTCCTTTGTACCTTCTGACTGTTGTGTTGTTTGCAGCAGAGCCCTGACCTCTGCTGCTTCCCAGGACGCGCCCCTTGATCCAATGTTTTGTTTCCAGCAAGTGGCCAACATGATGGTCAGGATGAAGAGGGAGTTCACGGGCAGCCAAAACTCAGTGTTCCCCGTGTTCGATAACCTCCTGCTGCTTGATCGGAACGTGGATCTGTTAACGCCGCTCGCCACCCAGCTCACGTACGAAGGACTCATCGATGAGATTTACGGCATTCAGAACAGTAAGTGGAGGGATGTCAGCTTTCACGGGTCGCTAATAGGACAGAAGCCCCTGTCGTGCGGAGGCTGCTGCTTTACAGTTTGTTCTCAGGCATTGTTTGAATGTATAGATCCTATTTTTCTTCTTCTTTCTCTCCCTCTCCCACCCTTGTGTTTTGAAACAGTGTTAGCCCAAGCTATTATGGAGTTTACTGTATAGTCCAGGCTAGTCCACACTGGTGAGATTTCTTTCACAAACGGGCATTGTTGCAGTTGTTTCTACACCTGTCCAGAATTACAATTAGCACTGTGGTAGGGGTGTTAAAGAGCCGCTGTGCTGGTCATGGGCCATGGAGAGTGGAAACACAGAGCTGAGAGGTTTCTCTTCTAACTCTCAGTATTGAAGGTTTGTGGCTGACAAATAACCCCCTGCCGTTCTGCACTGAGTTGCTGGAGGCATCCTGGTGCAGGCATTTGACTTTTGAGTCTTCCAGAAACTGCTCAAGGGCGTGTTCCCTCCACCCTCAGGCTATGTGAAGTTACCGCCAGAGAAGTTTGCGCCCAAGAAGCAGGGCAGCGGTGGCGGGAAGGACCTTCCCACGGAGGCCAAGAAGCTCCAGCTGAATTCTGCAGAGGAGCTTTATGCCGAGATCCGAGACAAGAACTTCAACGCAGTGGGCTCTGTGCTCAGCAAGAAGGCGAAGATCATCTCAGCAGCCTTTGAGGTGAGGCGAGCCTGGGCTGACACCACTCCAACCCTACCCCCCTGACCCTACCCCTCCCCTCCAGTGCTGAAGGACAGCAGGAGATTTGCCCCTCAGACTTCTATTTGCCTGAGATATTTAGGTCTGTAAGACAGGTACACACAAAACTACCAAAGCATAAGGAAATTCATTTGAAAATAATTCCTTGGGGTTGGGGATTTAGCTCAGTGGTAGAGCACTTGCCTAGCAAGGGCAAGGCCCTGGGTTCAGTCCTCAGCACTGAAAAAAAAAAAAAGAATAATGTAATGAAAAGAAAAGATAAATATAGGTGGAAGAAAAAATGAAACCATTGGAAATTAAAGGTTCTCCGCACTGTGTGTGTGTGTGTGTGTGTGTGTGTGTGTGAGTGTGTGCGCGCGCGCATGCGTGCGTGCGCCACGTGTGCATATGGAAGCCAGAGATCAGCCCACCCTCAGGTAATGTTTCTCAGGAGGTGTTCACTTTGGTTTTTATTGTTGTTGTTTTGGTTTTTTGGGTTTTTTGGGGGGTGGGCTTGTTCGTTTGTTTTGAGCTAGGATTTCTTTGTGTAGCCCTAGCTGATTGGAACTAGCTCTGCATCACCAGCCTAGGCTTTCAACCTTTCTCTCATGCCTGTAACAGCAGCGCCGTGTTAAGGGTATGGGAGCATGGGTGTTGATGTTTTCGTAAACGAGTTCCGGTGACCTTCTATTCTACCCTTCCCTCCTCCCTCAAGGATGCCTGCTGTAGTAGACAGACAGAGAGTGCAGCTGTGGGGAGGTCCAGCCGCCAGCATGGCGGTGGCAGGGGAGCTCACCCTGTGATGAACAGTAATGAGATCAAAATCCCCTGCCGCCCAGAGCTTCATTAGCACCTTCCTGCCTCCGCTTGTCTTGAACCGGTTTGTTCTTGTTGAGCTGGTTTGGAAATTGGGGAGTCGGCAGCCTTACAGAATGACAGTTTACACTCTGGAGGTAGAAACTGGGAACGCTTTTTGAAAAGTTTGTCTTTGTTGTTGTGTTTCTGGTTTCCAGTATTACCTTTCTTAGTGATTCTATCTGCAGAGTAACTCCATATTCCTGCAGACAGTTTTGGATGACATTATTAAAGCATTCTTGTCAGTAATCGAGGTTCACTTTGTTCATGGGCTGCATTCATTATTGAGATTCAGTGTCAGATGGGATTTGTTTCTATTACATAGAAAATTTTTTGCTGTTTGTTTTTGATTTTTGAAATGGTCTCATGGCTGAGGATGACCTTGAACTTCTGATCCTTCTGTCTTCCCAAGTGCTGGGGTTCTAAGTCAGCTCTGGCATGCCTGACTTAGACATTTTCTGCTGTTTGTGGTTTCTTCTGCATAGAACTTAATTTATTTTTTTATCTCGTGTGTGTGTGTGTGTGTGTGTGTGTGTGTGTGTGTTTGTGTGCATGTATGGGAGCGGGGGGATGAGAGGACAACTTGAGGCAGTTCTCTCCTTCCACGCTGTGGGTCCTGGGATGGAGCTGCACCATGTCACCATGTTACCTTTTCTGTGACTTTGGAGCTGGGTTTAAATAGATTTGCATTTTCCCTCTCTTGACGGTATTGATGAGACATGCTCTGGGATGCTCTCCTGCCTCACGGAGCTGCTGCCCGTTCTGTTGCTGCAGGAGAGGCACAACGCCAAGACGGTGGGGGAGATTAAGCAGTTCGTCTCCCAGCTCCCCCACATGCAGGCCGCCAGGGGATCTCTCGCCAACCACACCTCAATTGCAGAGTTAATCAAAGATGTCACCAGTAAGTATCCTTTCCTGTGGTTCTTCCCTCCTGGGAGTGGCATGTGTGTACATTGTATTGTCCAACACCCTGGTCATCAGCACCTTGGTCCTTCCTTGGGGAGGTCAACCGTGTTTTATGTATTTATTTTATTATTTTAGTGCTAGAGATCAAACCAGGGCTTGTTAATGTGAAGCAAGAGCTTAACCACTGAGCCACCCACAGTAAGTTCCATTTTAGCATAAGCACATGTCACAGGAGAAGTAAGTGTATGACTTTTTTAGGTATGGTCTCACATAGCCGAGATTGGCCTTAAACTTGGGCATGAACTCCTAATCCTCTTGCCTGCACCTCTCTGGGACGGGATGACAAGTTTGGGCCACTTTGCCCGACTAAGCGTATGACTGTTAACAGTTAGGAACATTTGTCTGAGCCGAAGCTACAGCTCAGCTGTTAAGAACTTTGCTGCTCTTGTGGGGACCCCAGTTTATGTCCCAACGCCATGGCAGGTAGCTCAGAGCTGCCTATGACTCTACCCCAGGGGACCCCACTGACCTCTGAGGGCACCAGCACTCATGCACAGACCCATGCACAGACACACTCATGCACAGACCCATGCACAGACACACTCAGGTACACATAAATCTCTAAAAAATGTTCCATTTGTGATTAACTCAGCTGATTTATTAAACATGAAGTAAAATACCTGGAATATGGGTAAGAAAAAAGCATTCATCCAGAAGATTGCCCCAGTAACGATATGAAGCAGTTAATGTTTTTCCCATGTTTTCCTGTGTGAAGGATTATTTCATTAGAACAGTATGATGTTCTGGGTTGCTGGACTCTAGCTTTGGTCTCCTTAAGAACTGTGCAGCAAAACTCAAGTCCAAGTGGATCAAAGCCCTAAACATAAATCCCGTTACCCTGAGTGTGGTAGAAGAGAAAGGAGGAAATAGCCTTGATCACATTGGCACAGGAGACAGCAGAACACCTGTAACCCAGACACTGAGATCGACAGTTAATACATGGGACCCCTGAAACTGAGAAGCTTCTGTTCGGCAAAGGACATTGTCAGTAAGCCAGAACAGCAGCCCATAGAATAGGAAAAGATCTTCACCAACCCCACATCTGACAGAGGGCTGATCTCCAAAGTATATAAAGAACTCACGAAACTAGACATCAAAATACCAAATAAAATACCCAATTAAAAAATGGGGTACAGCCGGGCGGTGGTGGCGCACGCCTTTAATCCCAGCACTCGGGAGGCAGAGCCAGGCGGATCTCTGAGTTCAAGGCCAGCCTGGGCTACCAAGTGAGTCCCAGGAAAGGCGCAAAGCTACACAGAGAAACACTGTCTCGAAAAATCAAAAAAAAAAAAAAAAAAAAAAAAATGGGGTACAGATCTAAATAGAGAATTCTCAATAGAAGTATCTCAAATGGCTGAGATACATTTGAAGAATTGTTCAACATCCTTAGTCATCAGAGAAATGCAAATCAAAACGACTCTGAGATACTACCTTACACCTGTCAGAATGGCCATGATCAAAAACACTAATGACAGTCTATGATGTAGAGGATGTGGAGCAAAGGGAACACTCCTCCACTGTTGGTGGGAGTGCAAACTTGTACAGCCACTGTGGAAATCAGTATGGCGGTTTCTCAGAAAATTGGGAATCAATCTACCTCAAGACCCAGCCATACCACTCTTGGGCATATACCCAAAGGATGCTCAATCATACCACAAAGATACATGCTCAACTATGTTCATAGAAGCATTATTCATAATAGCCAGAACCTGGAAACAACCTAGATGCCCGTCAACTGAAGAATGGATAGAAAAAATGTGCCTCATACACACAATGGAGTACTACTCAGCTATAAAAAAACGACATCATGAAATTTACAGGCAGATGGATGGAACTAGAAAAGTGAGGTAACCCAGACCCAGAAGGACAAACATGGTACGTACTCACTCATAAGTGGATATTAGGAGTAAAGTACAGGATAACCAGCCTACAATCCACAGCCCCAGGATAACCAGTACAGGATAACCAGCCTATAGTCCACAGCCCCAGGATAACCAGCCTACAGTCCACAGCCCCAGGAAGGCTAGGTAACAAGAAGGGCCCAAAGAGGGCCACATGGATTTCCCTGGGAAGTGGAAATAGAAGAGATCTCCTGGGTAAACTGGGGGTGGGGATGGGAGGGGATGGGAGGATGGGAACTTGAGGGAGCAGGTTGGGTGGGTTGGAGGCAAGATGGAGGAGGAGAATAATGAAAGTGGTGTGTTGATGGGGGGTGGGGGGCATTCGGGTTTAGGGCGAAATCTGGTGCCAGGGAAACTCCCAGGAATCCACAAGGATGACCCCAACTTAGTGGAGAGGGTGCCTGAACTGGCCATCTCCTGTGATCAGATTGGTGACTACCCTAATTGTCATCAGAGAGCCTTCACCCAGTAACTGATGGAAACAGATGCAGAGACCCACAGCCAAGCACTGAGCTGAGCTCCAGGAGTCCTGGTGAAGAGAGGGAGGAAGGATTGTAGGAGCCAGGGGGGTCAAGGTCATCACAGCGGAACCCACAGAGACAACTAGCCTGGGCTCATAGGAGCTCAGAGTCTGGACCGACAGCTAAGGAGTCTGCATGGGACTGACCTAGGCCCTCTAACATGTGTGGGACAGTTGTGTAGCTTGGTCTATTTGTGGCACCCCTAGCAGTGGGATCAGGGCCAGTCCCCAACACTTGGGCTGGCTTTGGGGAGCCTATTCCCCATACTGGATTGCCTTGCCCAGCCTTATACAAAGTAATCCTACCTCAACTTGATATGCCATGCCTTGTTGACACCATGGGAGGCCTGCCCCTTTCTGAACAGAAACAGAGGGGAGGTGGGGAGAAGGAACAGGGGGGAGGCGGGAGGGGAAACTGTGGTCAGGATGTAAAATAAATGAAATTTAGTTTTAAAAAAAAAGAACTGTGCAGAACACCTGTAGTCCTGGCACTTGGAAGGCTGAGGCAGGAAGACCATAAATTCAAGACAGCTTGAGCTACATTGTGAGACTCTGAGACAAGAAAGAAAAGGGAGCCGGGTGGTGGTGGCGCAGACCTTTAATCCCAGCACTCGGGAGACAGAGATAGGTGAATCTCTGTGAGTTCGAGTCCAGCCTGGTCTATAGAGCGAGATCCAGGACAGGCTCCAAAGCTATAGAGAAGCCCTGTCTCGGAAAAAAAAAAAAAAGAAAGGAAGGAAGGGGCCTGGGAATGTAGCTCAGTTAGTAGCGTGCTCTCCTGCTGGTACAGGTCTGGTGGCTTGTGCTGTTGTACCAGCACTGGGGACATTGAAGGCAGGAGGATCTGAAGTTTAAGGTCATTTTCAGTTTATAATGAGTTCAGGACCAGCCTGGGCTACATTAAACCATACCTCAAAACAAACTAAGTCAGTGATGGCACACACCTTTAATCCCAGCACTCAGGAGGCGGAGGCAGGCAGATCTCCGAGTTCCAGGCCAGCCTGGTCTACAGAAAGTTCCAGGACAGCTAAGACTACACAGAGAAACCCTGTCTCAAAAAACAAAACAAAAACTTACCACAGAATTGTCACAAAGAGCCTCATGAGATGTGTTAAATCCTAAAGCAAGTCCGTTTGACTGAGACGTAGACGCTGAGGCGTTTGTTCAGTACTCAATGGCATTTGTTCGGTACCAAACGTTAAGAAATACACTTTAGCCGGGCGGTGGTGGCGCACGCCTTTAATCCCAGCACTCGGGAGGCAGAGCCAGGCGGATCTCTGTGAGTTCGAGGCCAGCCTGGGCTACCAAGTGAGTTCCAGGAGAGGCGCAAAGCTACACAGAGAAACCCTGTCTCGAAAAACCAAAAAAAAAAAAAAAAAAAAGAAATACACTTTAAATCTTAGTTCAGGTTTGGAAAATTAGTCCCGTGTCTGCTGGTGGCAAAAGTAGGACACAGTGGACAGGAAGCTGTGCTCGGGGGAGGAGAGTCTAACGGAGACCGAGACTCCCGCCAAGTCCTGACCTGTGCATCTGAGGCAATGGTCTCAAAGGAGTCCTGTGCGGATCTAATGCTCAGTGCTCTGGGGTTTCCTGGTGGCTCGCTCTGGAGTCCTTACCTTTTTGGTTTCGTGTGCTTCGCTTGCTAATCCTGCGTGTGAATAGAAGCACAGTACTCAAATCAGCTGACACTGTTGAATTTCTGAGTCAAAAATTTGCTGATTATGTTTTAGCTTCTGAAGACTTCTTTGATAAGTTAACCGTGGAGCAAGAGTTCATGTCCGGGATAGACACTGATAAGGTACGTGGGTCCATCACCTAAGATTAGAGCCAGATAAGCGGCCCATTGTGGTGTTGTCTGTGTTGTTATTGTTGGAGACAGAAACTCACCGAGTAGCCCTGGCTGGCCTGGAACTTGATATGTAGACCAGGCTAGCCTCCAACTCAGAGCTCCTCTTGCTTCTGCCTCCTGAGTGCTCAGACTGAAGGTGAGCACCACTCTACCTGTCCTCCAACCGTTGTTTTGGTTGCATTTGTGATCTCTCTCTCTCTCTGTGTATATGAGTGTGTGTGTGTGAGTGTGTGTGAAACAAAAAAAGGATATCTGCCTTTCTGGGGTGGGGTTAGTGATAGGACAGTACCAGTCCTATGTAGCATGCCTAGAAATCTTGGGTTCAGGCCCAGTATTCCTAAAGCAAATAACAACAACAATGCACGCACACACCCCAGCTGGGTGTGGTGGCCCACACCTGTAATCCTAGCTCATGAGAGATGGAAGCATTTAAGGCCAGCTTTGGCTACATAGTAAGTTGGAGACCAACCTGGGTTACCCTATCTCAAAGCAACAACAAACTCAGGTTACTTTCTTTTTAATTTGTTATATAATTCATTTAAATATTCATCACTATTAAAAATAATTAATTGTTCAATTTGCAAAAGTTCCTGTTTTTAAAAAGAATTCCTATCACTTCATGCTAAGTAAATTGTTGGTATCTTTTTTTTTTTTTTTTTTTCCGAGACAGGGTTTCTCTGTGTAGTTTTGGTGCCTGTCCTGGATCTCGCTCTGTAGACCAGGCTGGCCTTGAACTCACAGAGATCCGCCTGGCTCTGCCTCCTGAGTGCTAGGTGGTGACATGTGCCACCACCGCCGCCTGGCCGGTATCTTTTTTTTTTTTTTAGACAAAGTCATATAAACCCCAGAGATTGGGCAGCCACTAAGCTGGTTGTCCCTGAGGTAGAGATGTCCGAGCAGGCGATTTGATGCCCAGTGATGTCCTCACCACCTTTGCTGGTGTGTTGTGTAGTGGCCGTAAAGTTGGAGCATAGGGACAAGGGGCGATACCTTCAGTGTGTGTTAGGAAGAAGGAAACAGCTGTCCTCTCCCATGTTGCCTTTCCATGCCTAGAGCAGTGGTTCTCACCTTCCTAATGCTGTGACCCTTTAATCCAGTTCCTCATGTGCTGACCCCCAGCCATGACATTATTTCATTGCTACTTCATAACTAATTTTGCTACTCTTACGAATCGTAATGTAATATCTGACATGCAGACAGTCTAAGGTGACCCCTGTGAAAGAGTCATTTGACTCCCCAAGGGGTCTCGACCCACAGATTGAGAAGCACTGCCTTAGGGGATATAGTAGAGATCAAATTGCTTTGAGTCCTTGGACTAGTTAGTCTGTCTACATTTCATTTCTAGGTCAACAATTACATCGAGGACTGTATTGCCCAAAAGCACCCGCTCATCAAGGTGTTGAGACTGGTCTGCCTTCAGTCCGTGTGCAATAACGGGCTCAAGCAGAAGGTCCTGGACTACTACAGAAGGGAGATTCTCCAGGTAGTAAACGAAAGGCGTTTGCGTTGCTGAGAAGGAAAGCGTCCTGTAGTAATCCACTCTCGCTGCTGCTGTTTGGTGGATTGTGAACACCATCTGGTGTGCTTTTTAGAACCCGTTATGTGTTCTTGTGTGTGCCCATGCCGTGGCATGCCCATGGAGGGAGGACAGCTTCAGAGTCTGTTCTCCCTCCACCTCTGTGTGTCCGTGCGGCAGGTGCTTCACCCTCTGGGCCTCCTCACCAGCCCGTCTTTAACTTGTATCACTGCTATCTTTTTAATCTAAATTTTAAAATGATGTTTATTTACTTAGTTACTTAGCATGTTTATGTGTGTGCACATGTGCCTATGCATGCACATATACCATGGCATGTCTGTGGAGGACAGAGGACAGCGTTCGGTAGTCAGCTCTTTCCTTCCACCATATGGACCCAAGGATCGAACTCAGGTCACCAGGCTTGACAGCAGGCATCTTTACCCAATAAAGCATCTGGCTGTCCTCTAAAAACTCATTACATTCTTCAATTGATTTGCATGTGCGTATGTGTATGGGCCCATGTACAGGACAAATTTCTGATTGTTTGTCTACAGGCTTAGCTTGTTAGACTTTATAGTAAGGGGAAGCCCACTGCTTTAAATTTTTTTTTCCTATAGCCTGGGAGCATGCCACACACATGCATTTGGGAGGCAGAAGCAGATGGAACTCTGTGAGTTCCAGGCCAGCCAGGGCTGTGCCGAGAGATCCGGTCTGAAGAAAACAATTCTGTTTGAATATCTCAGGCAGTATGTATTTGCTGTTCTCAGTCAGTGCTCGGTATATTGTTAGTTTTTGTGGATTTTGTTTTATCCTTTCTTTAGTTACACAAATGACAGAAATTCTCATGAGGTTCTGTAATGCAGGAGTACCCAGAGCAAACCGACTATTCGCTAGCCTTGCCCTGATTCCCTTATTATCCCGAGGTGTAGGCAGGCCAGAAGTTTGGTTTGCTTCCCTCCTACTCCCATTTATTCTTCACGCACAGGATGTGTATGTACACAGAGTTCAAGTCAGTGTGTGCTTCAGGTTAGCATGGCCAGATGCGGCTCTACAGGTAGCTGACGCGTGGAGATTGTAAAGCAAGCACGTCAGCGGTCCACGGGGTTAGCGATGGCTTGTCTCTTAAAAACCAGAAATAAAATTGTGCTTCGCTCTCCACACTCAGTCCTGACCGTGCTAATGAGCCTGGGGTACAAACCACATTGATTTGTCAGAGTGCTCCTCTTTGGAAATCTGCAGGAGGCCTTTTCCTGACCTAACATCACTGCCAAATGCCTTCTCCTTCAGACCTACGGCTATGAGCACATACTGACCTTGAACAACCTGGAGAAGGCTGGCCTGCTAAAGGCTCAGACAGGGGGCAGAAACAATTACCCGACGATTCGGAAAACGTTACGGCTCTGGATGGACGACGTCAATGAACAAGTAAGATGTGTTCCTGAGCTTGATTCTAGTAGTTCACCGTGACGGCGCACACACCGCAGCAGTCTGTACATCTGCTCCGCTTTCTAAGTGTCTCTTCACGTTGACCTATTCAGTGTGTGTGTGTGTGTGTGTGTGTGTGTGTGTATGTACACAACTTGAAGTAGTTGGTTCTTTCCTTCTACCCTGTCAGTTCTGGGCCTTGAACTCGAGTTGCCAGGCTTGGCAGAAGTACCCTTACACTTTTAGCTCTTTACTCTTTTTTTTTCCTGATTTTATTTTATTTTATTTATTTATTTTGAAGCAGGGTTTCTCTGTGTAGCTTTGGAGCCTGTCCTGGGACCTGCTTTGTAGCCCAGGCTGGCTTCGAACTCACAGAGATCCGCCTGGCTCTGCCTCCCCAGTGCTGGGATTAAAGGAGTGAGCCACCACCGCCCGGCCTTCTTTACTCTTTTCTTGTGCTTCTGGAAAAGCAATGCATGGTGTGCTGTATCCATCCCCGTCTCAGCAGCAGACAGAATCTGTCAGATTGGATCGCTGGAGATTAATAAAGATGTGAACAGAGGGGACTGGAGAGATGGCTCAGCGGTTAAGAGCTCTGGCTGTTCTTCCAGAGGTCCTGAGTTCAATTCCCAGCAACCACATGGTGGCTCACAACCATCTGTAATGAGATCTGGTGCCCTCTTCTGGCCTGCAGGGACACATGCAGGCAGAACACTGTATATGTAATAAATAAATAAATCTTTAAAAAAAAAAAAAAAAAAAGATGTGAACAGAGTGGACCAGCGAGGGGTGATGCAGCATGGAACCCTCACCAACTGCTGTCACTTGCGGTTCCAGGTTGCAGACTGTCATAGCCGGGCAGTCACAGTAGCAGGAGCTTGAGGGAGCCAGGCACATCCCATCCAGTCAGGAACAGAGAGGGACGACCCTGCCTGTGCTTGCTGGGGCTCACACACTCTCTTCACACACTCTCTTCCTTAGTAGTCAAGGAGCCCTTCCCATGGGAACGGTACTCGGTCCTCCCAGCTTAGTTCATGTGATCAGTCATGCCCAGAGGCCCATTCTGCAGTTAGCATCCATCACAGCAGCTGAGGCCTGAAGAACAGGGAATAGGAGTTGTTAGAGAGACTTGTCCTGGGAACCAGAGAGAGCTGTGTGGCTGAGGGCTTCCGACCTCCATGTGTGCCACAACAAACCAAGCCGCAGTTGTCCCGTGGATGAAGAGAAGTCGTGGAGTGTTGGCACAGCACCTCCAGGCTTCTGGGCACAGGGTCCTGGGGAGGGGTGCGGGGACATCAGGAAGAATAGTTCACAGAAACATCCTTCTGTGTGAGCCAGTCAACAGCGCAGGAAGAGAAGCAGCTGCTGCCACCGCTACCGTGTTCCTCACAGAGGCCACCCTTGTGGCGAGGTTTTGGTCCTTCCAGAGGCCTCTAGGCATCTAGCAGCATTACCACTCATATCCTGTGCTCGTGGTCTGCAGAGAGTCTTGGCATGACAGTCATCACTTAGTGGACTCCGCAGGTGCCTGCTCGCTCACATTCACATACTCACAAACAGATACATGCTGTACAGATAAAGAAAAATAAGCTTTAAAAAAAAAGAAAAATGTAAAGCCCTGGGTGCTAAGCATAGAGCCCATATAAGGTGGATTGGAGCAAGCCACAGCAAGAGGTAATTTGAGTTTCTGTCTCCCAACTAAATAACTTCAATTACAAAAGCCGCAGGTGGCTCTCAGTCTCTGTGTTTTCTTTAACTGTTGGCAGAACCCCACAGACATATCCTATGTGTACAGTGGTTATGCGCCACTCAGCGTGAGACTCGCTCAACTCCTTTCCCGGCCGGGTTGGCGGAGCATCGAGGAGGTTCTCCGAATTCTCCCAGGACCCCACTTTGAAGAACGGCAGCCGCTGCCCACTGGGCTACAGAAGAAACGTAAGTTTCACCTCCTCTCCACAGCCAGTGTGCTGCTCGTGTGGCTTGTGTTGTGAGAGTGTTTTGTAAAGTTCCTAGGAATCAGAGTGGAGTCGGTTGCTAATGCACATTGGAAGCCCGGAGCTGTACTGTGCCCTTAGGAATAGCAGCTTTCAGTCTGCATTGAGACCCCCAGGACTGAGTGTCCGTTAAGATTAAAATCGGCATTCCAGGGCCTCAAGTGAACCGGCTGTACCAAAGTGCACTTGACCTTTTTATACTTTTTGGTTTTTAAATATATTTATTATCATGTGTGTGTGTGTATGTGTGTGTGTGTGTGCATGCCTGGAGAGGTTAGAGTTAGAGGCAGTTGTGAGCTGCCTGATGTGGGTGCTGGGAAATTAAACTCTTCCCCTGCAAGAACAATACACATTCTTAACTACTGGGCTGTCATCTCTCCAGCCCTTTTATATACTTTTAAATGAAATGAAATATTTCAAGAGGCAGCAGTAATCGATATTTTTGAATTCTGAAATGTTTCCATTTTAGGCCAACCAGGAGAAAACCGAGTCACGCTGGTATTTTTCCTCGGGGGTGTCACCTTTGCGGAAATCGCCGCCCTGCGCTTCCTCTCCCAGTTGGAAGATGGAGGCACTGAGTATGTAATTGCGACCACTAAACTGATGAATGGAAGCAGCTGGATAGAAGCTCTCATGGAAAAGCCACGATAAGTCTGGAAGACGACCATGCCCAGGACAGTGGTTTTGTGTTGAGGACTAAGCCAGCATTGACCGAGTGCTTGCTCTTTCCTACAGAGAAGAGCACATTTGTGTCTCCAGTCTCTACCAGTTTGATTTCTAAGGCAAGTTTTGTTTCCGTCTGAAAAATCAAGAAGTTTGGAGGACTTCTTGATGTAAGGAAGTTCCTGCCCTCTCTGATTTAGCTGCATCTGTGCAGGTTCCCTGCCTATGAAGGACTCTCTGCTGAAGATCGAGCTGATTACCAGGCAGCTTCTGCGAATTAGCCAGCCAAAGGCACTTCTGAGTGCACATGTTGTCTCCGAGACAGGCCAGTGTAGATGCCGCTGCGGGGGCTCCAGTTTTCTCCCGTGTCCCTTGTGACCCCAGCATCCAGCTGATCCTCCTACTGTGAGTAGTGGCAGCTTTTAAGTTTCTTCATGATGCTCTGTCACCGTGGTAACTGCCCTATGCACCTCTCTAGCACTCTCGCTCTACTCAAGTTGACACATCCCTTTTGCTTGAAAATACTCAGCTGCTCAGTCCCTGGCCTGGTGACCGCAGCCGCTGTGGTCAGTCTTAGTCCAGCAGTGGCAGGTGCCACCACTGCTGCGGGAGTGAGCCACGTCCGAGGGCAGGCATGTTGTGAAGCTGGGAGTTCATGTGTGTTCACCCGCCTCCTCATCTCAGCCTCTGGAGCGGTGAAGGGCACCAAGCATGGGACGCCTTGATGGCTTTTCTGTCATCACGCAAGTCTTCAGGAAAATTAGCCTGTCTCAGCATTGCCCAGGTCCCAACCCAGGTGTGGTTTCTGTGGTCAATTCCTAACCACAAATTTTCTTCTCATTTTCTTCATGTAAGAATTAAGAACAGCCGGGCGGTGGTGGCGCACGCCTTTAATCCCAGCACTCGGGAGGCAGAGCCAGGCGGATCTCTGTGAGTTCGAGGCCAGCCTGGTCTCCAAAGCGAGTTCCAGGAAAGGCGCAAAGCTACACAGAGAAACCCTGTCTCGAAAAACAAAACAAAACAAAACAAAAAAAAAGAATTAAGAACAATACGCTGCGCATTGTAAGTGAAAGAAAGCATTTAAAAAAAACAAAAACAAAAACCCAAAAAACAGGAATGGGGGCTGGGGAGATGGCTCAGAGTTTAAGAGCACTGGCTGCTCTTCCAGAGGTCCTGAGTTCAATTCTCAGCAACCACATGATGGCTCACAACCATCTATAGTGAGATCTGGTGCCCTCTTCTGGCCTGCAGACAGAACATTCTATACATAATAAATAAACAAACAAACAAAAAACAGGAATAAAGGGTGGCAAAGATAATGTTTGTTTCTCATGGAATTAATTTAGCCTTGATACTCAATATCTGGAGTGGTGGGGGTGGGGGGTTCCCAAACGGGAAACATTCCTGGCTCAGAACACTCTTTCAGGCTCTGATTTCCTAGGGAGTTGGTTTTACCATTGAGCCCCAGTTGGGCTCATGTCAGCTGCCAGAGAATGCAATCCACCTTGTCCTCACTGTTTTCCACTCCCGGGATTCCATTCAAGTCTGGTCAAGCCTGCTTGGCTGGGGCGTTTGTCCAGAGAACAGATACCCGGCTGTAATCCCATGCGTCTGCATCTGTTTCTGAGTCTATATTTGCTTGCTCAGAGCATAGCAAGGTCAGTTCCAAACATGTCCTCAGCAGAAGACTCTTATAAAACCACACACTTGCTTCCTTTGTATACAAATAGAAAGTGGTGGTAATCATACATTATGCCCTTTGATGTCAGTTTATTTAGCACTCAAAGTTCTTTGTCTCTAAGAGTGTGCTCTAGCTGAAAAGGGTGTGGGGCTGGAACATTGATTCCTAGAGAGGGTGGGTGGTTTACACCGTGTCTGTACTTTGGTTGAGTCGGTTAGATGGACTGTTCTGCTGCACTGGCCATCCTAATTAAAGACAGCTACATAGACACTATTAATTTACACATCTTCTGTTGCCTTAAACCCAGGCCCTAAGTGCTTTAACTGGATGGATTGTAAAGCAAGAGAGAGTGGTCTAGGGAGGGAAGCTTGAAATGGGACACTTCCTAAGAACGCGAAGGCCTCCTCATGAGCTCCAGTCCATTCCTGCTCTGCGTGCACTAGAGTCGGGTATGATTGGTCATTGCATGCTGGTCCGCCTTGTTCTCAGTTATACATAAAGGGTTAGCCAAACTGGATACAGTGGCACACCTGTCCTGTGAGCGTCAGCAGGCTGAGGCAGAGGGATTGAGAGTTCAAGGCCAGCTGGGTTATACATTGAGATACTGTCTCAAAAAAAAAAAAAAAGAAAGAAAGAAAAAACCTCAACTGTGTGTGTGTGGGGGGGAGAAGTGGGGGAATTCGTTTAATAGGTAATAGAGTGCTGCTGAGTACACATATGGCCCTGGGTTTAATCCTTAGAACCACATAGAGAAAAAGAAAAAGGCCCCGTGGCTTAACCCTAGGAGGAAATGTTTGTGGTCTGAGGAGTTAAATTCAAGCAACCATACTTCTGTTGTTGAGACAAGGTCTCCCTCTGTAGCCCAGGCTGGCCTTGAATTCAGTCCTTCTGCCTCAGACTTAGCAAGTGCTAGGATTTCCATGCCGAGGAAATTTTTAAACAGCAAGATGAACTACGTATCTGAAGCCGAGGGGAAGAGGTGCCATGATAAAAGATAGCCAAGCACAGGAATGCAGACTACAGAGTTACCTCTAGGTTGTCAGTGTACTTTTAGCATCTGAATTTAGTCATATGATGACAGAGGTGCCTTGTGAGGCGGTAGAAGGGATAGACAGTATGTAAAATTTCTCCTTATTTATAAATGGATTAATGTGAATTTTATTCCATGTTGTAGTTCTTTATTATAGTTTATGTCGTGTGTGTGTGTGTGTGTGTGTGTGTGTGTGTGTGTGTGTACACATTCACACTCGCAGAAATCAGAGGACAGCTTTCAAGAAGTAGGATCTCCTTCCCCCATGTGGGTCCTGAGGATGGAACTCGGGTAGTCAGGGCTGGTGGCAAGCCCCTTCACCTGCTGAGCCAGCTTGTCAGCCCCCTGTAGTATTTCTGAGCTGTGGTTACTCTGTTGTTATAAAACACACCAGTTTGGCAGGTTTGTAGATGGTACAGAGTATAAACCACATAACTGCCTTGGGGCATCCATTTGAAGGATGAGTGAGGAGGGAAGGGAGGTGTATTTCGAACAGCTTGGCCTTTCATCTGTCACTTTGGTCTAGGTGATGGTATGTATCGCAGCCATCCTTCTCATCTTGTGATGAGGCAGGGCATGGGAGCCCTTCAGTTGTCCAGTCCTCTGGGGGAGCAATTACCACTCCCTGGCTTCCTGAGCTGCGTGTTGATGTTCTGCCCCTCTTTTCGAGCAGGCTTCACCGAGGCAATGATTTGATAATAAGAGATCCTGATTAAATTAAGGGGCCATTTGCTTCTGGATGATGATGTTATAAAAGGGTTGACGTCCACACTGCCTGCTTTTCCAAAGGTCAAAAAATAGTCTTCATAATTTCGTATAAGCAGAAGAATAAGCTGTGTTTTGGTGCTTTCTTTTTCTTTGTCCTTACATCGGGAAACAGGAAAGCGTTCTTGGCTTTCCCAGCCGGCTCCTTTGGTTGCCTCACTTCTGTAGTTGAACTTGAAAGTACTACACTGGGTAAAGAGTTTGCAAACTGCTAAACTCTGTAAATTAGGATCATGTACTCTGGGGCTCTCATCTGTGGTTCTCACATACACGTGTGCATGTTCACACTTGCCTTTCTTCAGACAGCAGCTTTCCTGTTAGTAAGACAGTTGTCAGGAATGTGCAGTGGTTCTGCCCAGTCCCAGTCTCTTGACAGGGCTGCTCTCAGTTTTAGACAAACAAGACATGAAGGGGCTTGAAATACCCCCTGGTGTACCGCTTCTGCAGCCCATTTAAGTCAGGGGCCTTGAAAACCGCTGATGCCTCATCCTGTGGACTGGAGGTGACACAGGCCGAGGGCAGGCAGGGTTGCCAGTGCCCCGCCTGGCCTGGGATTGCCTGTGCGCAGCTCCCCGGGAGCTCGGAAACCACAGGGAGGTTGTAATTGGTCGATAGACCACACCTAGTTGTTGAGTGCTTCTGCTGCCTGAAGACCTCTCAGCCCTGCCCAGATCGCTGGGGTGTGCACAAGCCTACCCTCGCCAGACCAGAGGAAAGCTGTGGAGGCTGTGGCTGGCGGAGTCGTGGAAACTTAGCCGAGTGAGTAAACTGGGAAGAGTGGGAAGCTAGAGGCTAGCGTTGAGGGGCTCTGCCAGGCAAAGCAGCAGTGGAGATGAGCAGGTTTGTGACTCTTGGCATCTGAGGTGAAATTTGCAAGGATGGGGTGCGTAAAGCATGTAACGGGAAGGATGTGAGCCCAAGATCAGATGTGGTACCTATCACTTGGCACCCTTCGGTTTTAATCCTGACAGGCCGTAAGGCAAGCATGCTGGGGCGCACACACACACACACCCTTAAAGTCTACCATCGACAGTCCTGGGGCCAGGAAAATGACGGAGGAAATAAGCAATGGTCTGCTGCTTCTCCTCCACGCCAAGGCAGACCCACAGACAGGGCTGCAGCTTGAGTGAAGGGAAAATAAAGCTGTCCTCCACCAGCCCATTAGCGGCACCAACTGCATTAAAAATGCAAGAGATGGTAGCAAGAGAGGGCCTGTTTGGAGTCTAATGCAAAGTCAGGACTGGGAAAGGCCAGGCTCTTTCCCCTTTTGGAGCTCAGACGCCAGTGAGGGAGTGTGCGGGCAACTACTGCTTTAGAAGGCACTTTTTTTTTTTAAAGTTCCGAACAGCACTTTGGGCTTCCTTGGCCCTGGGAGAGTGCTGTCCCGCCGCATGCACCCTGCGCGTGCTCAGGATCCACGTCTCTGCAGGGCGATGCCGGCCTGGTCCACCGTCCACGTGCTGCAGCTGCTGCGGGAGCTGCTCGCCTTCGTGCTCCTCAGCTACACGGTGCTCATCGGGGCGCTGCTGCTGGCCGGCTGGACCACCTACTTCCTGGTGCTGAAGTGACAGCGCCCGGGCCCAGGCTCGCCCCGCCCCGCCCCGCCCCGCCGCCATCCAGCACCCCCAGGCTGAGCACCTTCCCCTCTCCAGGCGCGACCCCGCCCCGATCCCAGCCCACCGCCCGCGTTCCGGGGGCGCGACCCCGCTCAGCATCCCCCCCAGCCCCGGGGCCCGCCCGCCGCGTTCCGCGCCGAAGTCCGAGCGGTTGAACGCCAGGTGCGACCGTTAGAGCCGTTTCCGAAGCGCTGCCGCCCCGCCCCTCCCGCCTGTCCAATCACAGCTGCGTCCTCTGGAGGTGGGCGTGGTCATGAAGCCCTGGGCTCCCTGGAGCCGGCCGCGCTCGCCCCGCTGCCCGCTATGCTGCGTCACTTCCGGCGTGTGCGTCCGGCGTCCGTCCGCCGCGGGATGGCGGCTCTGAGGAGTTGGACGTGCCGGAGCATCGCCTCCCTGTTCAGGTACGGCAGCGGCAGCAGAGGGCGGGAAGCGGCGGAGAGGAGCCGGGCCCCGCAGCGCCGGCCAGCGCGTCGGCCCCAGGTCGCGGGCCGCCGCGTCCCGCCTCCCTCCGAACTTTGCGGAGGGCCCCGCCTCCGTCGCCCGTCCTCCATCACGGGCTCCCGAAAGCGGGTCCTCCAAGCCCGGCTGCCTTTCTGGGGCCGTCGAGCCTCCAGTCAGCTCAGAGTGCCCCGGGACACCGAGGGACAGACGGGTCACGGCGTTGGCTGCAGGCCTTGGGCTGGCAGCGCGGGGTTAGCCCACGTCCCCGGAGACACGGGCACCCGATGCCAGCGGCGCCCTCCGGCTGCCGGCTCCCGGGCTTTGCTAGCAGGGACCATTAGAGACAGCTGGAGCCCAGGCCCGGGGTCCAGAGCCAGATCCTGCGGGGCGGGAGAGTTTTATCCCGGCGTCAGGTCGCTGAGCGGCTCCGAGGCAACTTTTAAGCTCCTCCACCTAGTGGAAAGCGCCCAAGCGCATTGGCCTGTTGCGCTTGCTGGCCTGGAACTCAAATCGCTTGCCTCCGACTCCTGAGGGCTGAGATTAAAGGCTTGCCACCACCCCTGTCGGTTTCTGGGATTTAACAGGCCACCCTGTGGTTTATTTATTTATTTTTTGGAAGACCGCTGCTACTTCATTTAGTTTCCTGCTTGGTCCAACTCCTGCACACCCAAGAGCCTTTTACAGATTGGTTTGTGCTTTTTAAAACTTGACTTATGTTTCCAGGTATGGACAGCGTGCTCCCGTCGTGGCTAACTCTAAGAGACGCTGTTTCTCAGAACTGATAAGACCGTGGCACAAAACTATGTTGGCAGGATTCGGCATGACCCTGTGTGCAGTTCCTATTGCTCAGGTATGGGACGGGCATGCGACTCTTTCCCATTTTAGTGAAGCTGCCATAGTTTGACAAGTGCCGCTTCCCATGATGCTGTGTGCACTGTGCTATGCCGGCATCTTCTCGGAGTTGAGCAGATTTCCCGATTTCATTGCATCATGATGTTGTGGGAACAGTACTGTTTCCGCTTCCTGCCCCTACTCCACCACCCCGAATTGAGGAACCAGTGAATCTGAGCATCAGTTGAATTGGGAAGTAGACCTTTGTCCTCGTACCAAACATAGAAGTCAAAGATAAACTGCAAATGGGCTTCTCAAGCTCCAGAGGTTAAAAATATGTTTCAAAAGAACTACCAAGTGGGGTGGTAGGCTAAAACAGGGGAGGAGTAATCATGTTTTTCTGAGAATGGGTGACTATTTCCTGGGAATTCATATGCCACTTTTTTTTTTTTGTAATGGTTTAGTTTTCACTGAGGTAATCGTCAACTGGCCTGGCACTGGAGGGTGCATCCATTGACTCTCCTTGGGACTGTGAGGAAGTTAGAGGTTGCTTGGCTGTCACTGGCAACCGTCTTAGATCCCGCCTGCCAGTTTAGGCTAACTTACTTGAGGAACGGGTCTAAGCATCCTGTCTTCAAGAGTAGGAGTGGGAGGGTAGGATTAGTAGCGGAATGAGGAACTGTTTAATAGGTGAGGCCAGAGAGTTAGCCAGGAACCAAGTTCCGGTCACCTAGTCAGTACTGGGGGTAAACAGCACTTCAAGATGCATAAAGGACAGACTGAGATAAAAGAGAATGATAGTCTGTCGGCGGAAGTCTGTCATTCAGCAGAACTTCACTGAACAACGTTTTTGTGCCATACACTGGGGAGGAAAGAGTGAGAGAAAATAGAAATTCTTGCTGTCATAAAACCTACATTCTGGGTAGAAAACAAGCAAATGTAAGTTGAGTGTGGTGGGGTACATTCCTGTAATCCTAACACTGGGGAGACTAAGGCAGGAAAATCCAAACCTTGAGGTTAGCTTGTGTTAGTTACATCTTGAGATGTCTCAAAAAAAGAAAACAAAAACCACAAAAAAACTTGACAGTGGTGGCACATGCCTTTAGAGGCAGAGGCAGACAAATCTGAGTTTGAGGCCAGCCTGGTCCAGGACGACCAAGGCTACACAGAGCAACCCTGTCTCACAAAACCAAAAGACAGAAAAGTCAGCTGGTGATGTAATCTGAAGGAACTAGGGTGCAGTGGGATGGGACCCCTTCGTGTAAGGGGGCTTCGAGAAAGCTACTCTGGGTAATGTGAGACTGCACCATGGTAATGACCTAAGTAAGGGAGAAGCCTGCAACGGAGGATTATGGGTAAAAGCCTGAAGCTGAATTTTGTGTGGTGTGCAGCAAGGCAAGGTGGACCGAGAAAGTGTTTAATAGGTTGTGGGGCGTTTACCCAACAACTGCACAGCTCCCCAGAGTTTTCTTGAGTGCGAGCAGCAGGAAATATTAGATAGAAGGATTTATTGTGGAGAATATCTCGGAGATAAACAGATAGAAAATAAAGGATAGCCTCAAGAGGGCCTGGAACCTATTCCAACAGGACCCGACCGTCTCTGCCCCAGGGTATTTATAGAGACGCCAAGGGGTGGAGCAAAAGACCTCCTCCCCCAGCACAGCCAAGTGCAGACCATCTCAGACACCTGCACTTAGGCCTGTGGTCTAATCATCCTCTATGCGGACCTGCTGGGTAAAGCCACGAGGAACCCGAGAACGGGCTCCCACAATAGGTGTGGTCACAGAGGTAACCAGGAATCAGATACTGTGTTTTGATTTTTGTGGATCATCGTGAGGCTTTAGATTTTATTCTGAACAGGCTGCGAAGGATTTGTTCTTGGACTTTTATGATCTTGTATAGGTTTTAAGGTTATTTATCTAGGGCGACTAAAGGACTACTGTTACAGTCTAGATGAGATGGTGGTCGTCAGACTGGCAGGCAGCAGAGGAGTGAGGGAGAATTGTCATTTGCTGAGACAGAGAAGTGGGTCTCCGTAGGAAGAAAGTTACAACATGTCAGTGAGAGCCCAGTGGAGCTATAGTGAGCAGCTGGAAGGAAAACGGGTTTTTATAGTTGTTTTGTTTTTTAAATCACTGGTTATGTGCTTTAGAGAAGAGCTAGATAAGAAACCAGCAAGCTCACTTCAGCAAGATAGTCCTGATACTTTTGTATCCATTTACTGCAAGTACTTTTAACACCGGAGGCTAGTTAACACCCATCTGTCTCATTTAAGCTGTCATCTGCATGCTGTTGAACCTCAGCTCTAAAGTGTCCACTTGAACTGACAAGACAGCCCTCTTAAAATGGCATTTGTTTTGTGTGGTGGGTGAGGTATCAGGACAGCTGCAGGAGTTGGCCCTGGGGGTGAACGGGTTGTCTGCTCGGCAGCCGATCCCCCAGTGTTCTCTGTTTTTTTCTGAGAGTTGTGGGGTTTGCCCTCTTCTCTGCGTCCTGGGCCACAGGACTAGAGCTCTGCAGTCACGCTCCTGCAGCGGCCTCTGCTCTTCCAAACTCCCACGACTCCATCACATGCTACAGACAGAGCCAAGCTGTACCCAGTTCTGCCTGCACCCCGGGTCCCTAACCAGGCTCCTTTCTCTGTGCCAACCGGCCTTTCGTTCCCTTCCTTCCAAGAACCTCAGCCATTTCAGTCTTAGCTTCTCCAGTACCAAGTCCGGCCCTTTAGAGCCTTTCTCAGTTTTGATCACAGGTTTCGGAGTAAGTCTGCTTTGAGGTTTAACTAGGGATGTGATTTCTAGGGAAAGTTACCTGGCTGTTCTGTGTGTGGATTCCATCATCTGTAAACACTGGTGGTGCTCATACCGGAAATGAGTGAAAACATTGTAAAGTTAGCATTGTTACACTCAGGTTTTCAGATGCTATCTCAGCATTTCCCTTCTTATGAGCCGAGTTGTCCATCTGTGTACCCTTCAGTTTGAGGTATGTATGAACTGAGGATATGATGAAATCCTTGATTTATTCACACATTGAAACACTTTCATAGTCAGGCTGCTTTAACAGTTATTCTGGGGTTTTACACTCCACACAGCAAAACCAAGACAGTAAGTAGATCACAGAGCAGTGGGTTTTGAGACAGCGAGGTCTCTGTCGAGGAAGAAGAAAGGTTATTTAGATGAGGAGCCACAGGTTTTTAGTTTGCGTGATCAAATCCCTCCATTCTTTCTGATGTAGGGTTCTAGTGATTTTTGTTTGTCCGTGTAATCGCTGAGGTTATAGTGAAGAGCACCTCCCTGCCCCCAAGCATTCTACTCAGTCTTCTCAGGTTCTCTTCCCACGTCCACCCATTCACCGTCAGACTCCGTGCAGTTCACATTGGATCTCTGAGGTCTTCCTGCTAATAATACCTCAACATGGGCTTGGTAGTTTTCTGTGTGACTCTGCCACAGCTCCCTTGACACTCAGTTTTCTAGGTGAATGAAAGTGGAGAGAAACATTACCCTGAGATTATGTCCCTATGCTATCTTAAATCACCAAATAGAAAGCCTGAAAAGTTACCCCAAAGAAGTGTGCTGCTGTAGGTTCATATGCACGAAGCGCAGGGGATCTGAGACCATCAAGTCCTCATCTTAAGCTTTATTCAGGTTGGAAATTGTCTGTCTTTCAGAAATCGGAGCCTCACTCTCTTAGTAACGAAGCATTAATGAGGAGGGCTGTATCTTTGGTGACCGATAGCACCTCCACCTTTCTGTCCCAAACCACGTACGCTCTGATCGAAGCAATCACTGAGTATACGAAGGTATGACTCCTTTTTTTTTTTAAAATAATTTATTTAACCTTTTTTAATGTGCATTGGTGTGAGGGTGTCAGATGCCCTGGAACTGGAGTAACAGACAGGTGTGAGCTGCCATGTGGGTGCTGGGAATTGAACCCGGGTCCTCTGGAAGAGCAGCCAGTGCTCTTAACCTCTGAGCCATTTCTCCAGCCCAGTATGGCTCCTTTTGTGCAGTTTTGGTTTTGTTTTTCAGCATGAAGAGATGGAACCCAGAGGTTTATGATGCCAGGCAAATACTCTTCTACAGAGCTACAAGCCTCACTTCCTCTTCAGCACTGATTTGCTAAACCAGCAGTTTGCAAACTATGGCTCACAACCATATCTAGTCTAATAGCTGCGTTTGTAATTTATTGGAATCAGCAAGCCTTATGTTTAAGTAGCTTTAGCAGAGGTCATAAGGCTCTTGAGCCTCAAATACTTACAGTCTAGTCCTTTAAGAAAGATGTTGCCGAGGCTGGGTTTTTGTGGTGGCTCATTTAGAGTGCTTGCCTTGGGGTTTATTCTCAACAACGTGGTGGTGCACACACATGATCCAGCACTGGGGAGGTAGAGGCAGGAGGATGAAGGTCAAGGCAGATAGCCTAGTACCTAAAATAGCTCCTCTAGTTCACTAGGGTTCAAAGAGGGTCCGTGATACATACATTCATCTCCGAGCAGGCAGCAGGCAGCGGTCCCTGGCTCCAGTCCTAGCTGCTCTGGAGGAGGATTGTCTGGGGAACCATCTGGGGCAGCAGCACAGCAAGCAGGGCAGTATTAAGTCATCTATGCATTTCTTTTTCTCTGAATCTGCCTGAATGGCCAACAACACTTTTACAGTTTGTTTTTTTGTTTTCGAGACAGGGTTTCTCTGTGTAACAGCCCTGGCTGTCCTGGAACTCATTCTGTAGACCAAGCTGGCCTTGAACTCACAGAGCTCCATCTGCCTCTGCCTCCTGAATGCTGGGATTAAAGGCATGCGCCACCACTGCCCGGAAATTTTTAGTTTTTTTGGTGACAGAGTTCACAGTACAGCTCTGGAACTCACTATGTAGACCAGGCTGGCCTCAAATTGAGAGATTCTGTTGCTAACGAAAATTTTAAAAGGCAGACTTGTGTGTGATCCTAGCACTCAGGAGGCAGAGGCAAGTAGATCTCTGAATTCTAAACAAGCCTAGTTGACATAGTGAGAGCCTGTCTCAAAAACAATACAAATGTAGCGGATGTCCTGAACGCTGCCTCTGCTTCTTGCACTGTACAGCTCAGTGAGGCACAAGGATGAAGAGCCAATTGACCGTAATGAGGTTTTTTATTTATGTGCATGTGTTGGAGTGCAGGCGGGTGCCCAGGGAGGCTGGGGTGGAATCATAGGTGGTTGGTTATGGGCTGTTACAAGCTCTTGCAGAGTTCCGTTTCCAGAGTGTTATATCCTGCACTCTGGAAACGGAACTTTGCAAGAGCTTGTAACAGAGTCAGCCTCCCTCTCATTTGAATGTCTGAGGCAGGCACACAGGACTGCCCACTGGCAGTTCTGAGGACTATAATCCATGACACTCAAGGGCTGATCTTGGCCTCTAGCCCTGACTGAGGAGGAACGAAATCCACACAGTCTAGTGGACAAAAGATTTTTTTTTTTTTTGAATGTGCATTCGTGTTGGGTCTGTGTGAGTGTGTGATCCCCAAGAGTTACAGTTGTGAGCTGCCATGTGGGTGCTGGGAATTGAACTCAGGACCTCTGGAAGATCAGCCAGTGCTCTTAACCACTGAGCCATCTCTCCAGCCCAATCCTTATATGCTGGAGTCAGTCTAAATATGTAGCTCAGGCTGGCCTTGAACTTGCAGTCCTCCTGGCCACATCCTGAGTGCTGAGATCACATGTATGCACTACCACCCCAGGACTTTGTTTTCTGAAGGTGTGACTGTCACTAATCCTTCCAGTGTGCCTCACTTAATTACACTCTCATTATTCTGTGTTCGTAGGCTGTTTATACGTTAGCATCTCTGTATCGACAGTATACAAGTTTACTTGGGAAAATGAATTCACAGGAGGAAGATGAAGTGTGGCAGGTGATTATAGGAGCCAGAGTTGAGGTGAGCACACACATGTCAGTCATTTCCAAGTAATGGTCTTCATTGTGGTGTCTAAACTGTTACCCTGAGAGTAACGGTGTTAACCCCTTCATGGTCTCTGGAGCTCTCTTCTGAACTTACAGATGACTTCAAAGCAGCAGGAATACTTGAAGCTGGAAACCACTTGGATGACTGCAGTGGGCCTTTCAGAGATGGCCGCGGAGGCTGCCTATCAAACTGGTAGGCAAAGGCTGGGTTCTTTGTGTGTGTGCTTTTTACTTTGAGTTTAGTTGTTAAGTGAGGACTTTAGATTAGACTGATTGATATCTTTTAGAGCAGTGGTTCTCAACCCTTGAACCCAGTGCTTCATGTCATGGTAACCCCCAAACATAAATGTTTTGTTGCTACTTCATAAATTTAATTTGCTGCTGTTAGGAATCATAATGTAAATATTTGATATGCAGGATTTCTGATATGTGTGCTCCCCCCCCCCCCCCCCCCCCCCCCCCCCCCCCCGGGATTGAGAACCACTGTTTGGAGGTTTTCCCCATTTCTATGTTGTTTTTCTTGTTATATAGCCGTGGCTAGCCTCAAACTCACTATATGTAGAACAGGCTGGTCTCACCCTCCCCAGTGGCGGGCCGGGCTGCCACATCAAGCTTTAACATTCTATTTGCATTCATGGGTGTCGGGCTGCCAGTGTCTAGAAGAGTAACTAGTAAAGCCGTTGTCCAAAGGTTTGTACATCGTAAGTGCATATGGACCTTTAAATAATGAGACCGCAGACATGAAGCTAGAGCATGTCTGCGCAGGCTCAGGGGCAGCACTTCATAAACATGGAGCTAGAACTGTCTTTTTTTTTTTTTTTTTTTTTGGTTTTTTTGAGACAGGGTTTCTCTGTGTAGCTTTGCGCCTTTTCCTGGATCTCGCTCTGTAGACCAGGCTGGCCTCGAACTCACAAAGATCCACCTGCCTCTGCCTCCCGAATGCTGGGATTAAAGGCGTGCGCCACCACCACCCGGCCGGAGCTAGAATTGTCACTCCCACTCGGAAAATACCAGGCCAGTTAGGAGTGACCAGACTGAAATTGAGCCTTTATTTTTTCTTGTATGCAAATGTTAGAGCTGGATGTGGTGGCTCATGCCTATAACCCTAGCACTTGGGAGGCTGAGGCAGGAGGATGTCTGTGAATCTGAAACTAGCCTGGGATACAGAGTAAGACTTGTCTCAGGAAAAAAAAAAATACAAGTTAACATCCTGGAAATAGGGAACCCTGGAGCTCGGGGCCAGAGCTCTGTTTTCTTACTAGTGCCCTACACAAAAAACGTAGCTGTTTTTCCTTTCTGTGCCAAGGTGAGATTTGACTGTTGGTGTCTATCCAGTGGACCTACGAGAAAAGATTAAATGTTCAACATCTAATCTGACCCAGTCCCAAACCAGATATGTACTTTTTCTCGTAGCAGGATATCAGATCGAGGCTTCTAGCATTAAGTCCTAATATTGATTTTTTTTTAAGTAGTGGGATGATTTTATTTTGAGGGGAATGTTGAGACCGAGTCTCACTCTGCATCCCAACCCAGCCTTAAGGCTGCAATGATCCTCCTGCCTCAGCCTCCTGAGTGCTAGGGTGATAGGCATGAACCACCATTCCCTGCAGGTTGTTTGGAAAGTTGCTGCTGTGTAATTGTATTTTCTGCTCTGCTGGGGAAGAACTTAAGCTTGAGAAGGGGAAGCGTGAGAGCAGCATTGTGGGAGTGAGTGGCTCACCAGATGTGGGCAGCTCCTGAGGAAGTGCCGAGAACTGCATCAGGCGCCTCCCAGGGGTCCCTCACACTCACCTGTGGGAGCACTACTGGAGAAGTGTCAAACTCCTGGAAGGTACTAGAAGGAGGAATTAGAACCAGACAGTAGTAGATGCACGATCATTGATAGCAGACTACAGTTTTATATTTGATTAAACAGACTTCCCACCTGCCTCCACTTCTGGAAATACTACTCATGAGTCAAGTTTGAAAGCAGAAACTTACTTTTCTAAAACTTGGAAAAGTTTGACTGTAAAAAGTAGTGGGGAGAGGGCTGGAGAGATGGCTCAGCAGTTAGCACTGGCTGCTCTTCCAGAGGTCCTGAGTTCAATTCCCAGAACCCACATGGTGGCTCACAACCATCTGTAGTGGGATCTGGTGCCCTCTGCTGGCATAAAGATGTACATGCAGATAGAGCACTCATACGTAATAAATAAATCTTTAAAAAAGGTAGTGGGGAAATGAAAGCATGCAAGCCTTTTTGAGAAGTAACAGGTACTGATTTCACACACTACAAAGAGAATTGGGAGGAGGGGACAGAAAACATGGTGGATTGAGTTGAGGCAGAAAATGACCAAGTCTATTAGAAAGTACAGACCAGCCAGGCGGTGGTGGCACACGCCTTTAATCCCAGCACTGAGGAGGCAGAGGCAGGCGGATCTCTGACTTCAAGGCCAGCCTGGTCTACAAAGCGAGATCCAGGACAGCCAGGTGACATCAAGAAACCTTAACAGGCTGTACCAGAAAAGTAATTCTAGGGCTCAGCTGGTTAAGGCACTTGGCTACCACTAATGACCTGAGTTCAGTTTCTGGAACCCACACAGTAGAAAGAGGATTCCTAGAAGTTGTCCTCTGACCTTGGCCTGTACACTGTGATATACACATGTGCTCCCACGTGGGTATTAAAAAGTTGTAAACAGGCCGGGGCGGTGGTGGCGCACGCCTTTAATCCCAGCACTCGGGAGGCAGAGCCAGGCGGATCTCTGTGAGTTCGAGGCCAGCCTGGGCTACCAAGTGAGTTCCAGGAAAGGCGAAAAGCTACACAGAGAAACCCTGTCTTGAAAAACCAAAAAAAAGAAAAAAAAAAAAAAGTTGTAAACAGAACACATCTGAAACAATATATCACAGAAAGGTGGAAATTATGAAAGGAAAAACTGAAAAATCAGCTTCTTATAGAAGCTAACAGCAGCGTCAGAGAGGGAACTGAAGAACAGACGTGATTACAGGTGAGATGAGCTTGGCAGCTTCAAGATCTTGGTGAGGCAGGGGCTCTCAGTCAGCTTAGAGCTCACCAATGTGGTTACTGTCACGAACCAGGTTATTGCTCCTGAATTGGCTCTCCCATCTGTGTCTTCCAAGGCTGGAATTACAGCTGCCCTTCCTGCCCACCCCACAGTTACATGGGTTCTGGGGATCCAAACTCTGTCCCAGTCCTCAAATTTGGGTGTCAAGTGGTTAACCACTGAGCCATCCCACCAAGATTAATATTCATTTTACACACATACTTACACACACACACATACATACATACACGCACAGTGTTGACCTGCCTCCTGCAAATACATAATGCAGTTAAGAACATAGAAAGATTGGTTGTTGTACCACTGATGTCAGTCACTTCCTGGAAATTGTCACACATTGCCCTCAGCCCACTTCCTACGTTCCTGCTCTGTAAAGTGTAAACATGCTTTCTGGGGTGGCAGTGTTGCTCAGTGGTAATGCTTTGGCTTTCTTTTTTCTTTTTTTGAGTCAGGGTTTCTCTGTGTAGCCCTGGCTGTCCTGGAACTTGCTCTGTAGACCAGGCTGGCCTTGAACTCAGAGATCCACCTGACTTTGCCTCACGGGTGCTAGGATTAAAGGCATGTGTCACCAAGCCCAGCAGAGGCCCTGGGTTTCTTGACCCCTCAAAAAAACAAAAGCCTGACTCTTCAGAATCTCAAGCTAGGGGCAGGAGAAATGGCTCTGTGGTTAAGAGTGCTTGCTGCTCTTCCAGAGGACCCTCTTCTGGCCTCCACGGGTACCTCATACCATGTGACATCCACTCACATGACAATCAGTTATTTAAAGAACAGTCCCAAGCTAAAGGAGGAATAAATAGAAATGTGTAAGTATTTGGAGCCTGAGAACAAGTCCAGTCTGTCACACACAGGGGACTTACGAAGGAGCTTCTGGGGCTGGCGGGCTGCCTCAGGTGTCTGCAGCACAACATGAAGACCTTTGGGTCCCCAGCACCCAGTGGAAATCCCAGACGTGGTGGAACACAGCTGTAACCCCAGAATGAGGAAGGCAGGGACACAAGAGAATCCCGGGAGCTCGCTAGCCAGCCTGCCTGCCTAACCAGTTAATGGGCATCAGGTTCAGTGAGAGACCCTGTCAAAATAACATGGAAAACAGCATACCCGTATCAGCCTCTTGACCTCCACACATGATCCATGCCTGTAATCACCAGCACCTGAGAGGTGGACTTGGGAGGATCAGCAATTTGAGGCTAGCCTGGGCTATGTAAGACCCTGTCCTCCACAGATACAAGTAGTCCATGGGTGGTTATACCTATAAAGCATATCTCATAAATATATGAATGGTAGGTTATCTTTGCTGGAGTAGGTATCAAAAATAAATAGACTTTTAACTCAGTAAATTAGACCAAAAGTGGGCTTAGGGGCTGGTGAGAGAAGGGTACTGCTGACCTGAGTTTGAGCCTCAAGACTGACTATAGGCACAGCCAGCTGCTAAATAAATAAAAGCATGAACCAGTGAAAAGCAACTCCAAAAAATCAGGCAAAAGAAAACATTTGAACGTAAGTAAGGTTAACTAGGCACAGTCTGAAAGACAAAAGTAGATGAAAGGGGTGGATGACTTGAGGAGGGAGCAGGTGTCTGGACTGGTTTGGGGTTGTTACAGTCTCAGAAAGGAGGCACTGTGGCCTAGCACCACACTAGTGATGCATTCCCATAGAGGAACATCACTGTGAACCTAACGCAAGGAGACGGGCAAGTGGCCTCTGCCTGTTTACAAGGTGCTGCTTCCAGTCATTGCAGGGATAGAGTGTTGCCATCACTCCAGCAGTTCTGAGGGGGAGGAGCTCGGGATGTAAAATGAAGAGATCGAGCCGGGCGGTGGTGGCGCACGCCTTTAATCCCAGCACTCGGGAGGCAGAGCCAGGCGGATCTCTGTGAGTTCGAGGCCAGCCTGGGTTACCAAGTGAGTTCCAGGAGAGGCGCAAAGCTACACAGAGAAACCCTGTCTCAAAAAAAAAAAAAAAAAACCAAAAAAAAAAAAAAAAAAAAAAAAAATGAAGAGATCATTGTCGCCCAGAGGTCTCAGAAGGTTCCGTAACTCTTGGCTTAGGGGTCAGGCTTTAAGTCCCTGGGTTTGCCGAGCACACTGTCTTGCTTTGTAGTCCCCTCTGAAGCACACAGATGCAGGGTCAGAACCCAAGGAGCTAGCTGTGCATCTCGCTGGAAATCGTTGAGTTCTGTTTACACAGCACCACAGGAAATGAAGAAATTAGGCTGTTGAGATGGCAATAAAGGCTCCTGCCACCAAGCCTGACCACCTGAATTCAGTCCCTGGACCCAAATGGTGTTAAAAAGAGAACTGGTGCAGCACTCGGGAGGCAGAGGCAGGCAGATCTCTGTGAGTTCGAGGCCAGCCTGGGCTGCAGAGCGGGTTCCTGGACAGCCAGTGCTACACGGAGAAATGGGGGGGTGGGGGAGCTGGCTGGCTTCTCCTAGTTGCCCTCTGACTTCCACACGCACACCGTCCTCCACCTTGAACCAGAAGACATTAGTGCCGTCTAACAGATCCATAGCTAAGAACTAGACAGCTTGTCAACCTAACACGTGATCTAGGTACGCATTTGCTTTCTCCTCTTAAGAGACAAATGTTAAAGATAAACATCACCCCTTAAAGACCTTATAAAATCTTTACATAAATCTAAAATAGGTTGAAGAACTAAGGAATCCATAGAAGTAATAATGAAAGTTGAAACTACATTCAAAGATGGACACCAAGCCCGGGTTATTGGGGGGAGAGAGTTAGATGTTCAAAACTAAAATTCCAGGTTGAAGATAAGGCTCCGTGGCTAACATGCTTCTGCAGACATGAGGCCCCAGGTTCAGATCTCTAGCACCCATGCAGAAACAAGCTGGGGGGTGGTACACACTGCAGGACATGTACTGTTCTGGGAGTGGGGTCCCTCTTCTCTCCTAAGGACTTGCCTGGCTAGCCAGAGTAGCCTAATCACCAAACCCTAAGTCCAGGCCAAAGACCCTTAAAAAACCCCACACTGCTAATGTGCAGGAAGTGCTGACGAGCCTGTGGTAATTGTGTGAAGGCAGCACAGCACCAAACTAACAGGTGAATGGGACTGACTTCTAAATTGAGCTGCAAGTCACATTTGGGCATTTGTGGTTTTTGTTTTTTTTTTTAAACAGTTTGGTGCATGTGTCTGTGGGTGTCTGTACATGTAGGTGCTCACAGAGCCTAGGACAGGGCATCAGATCCCTGGAGCTCAGGTTACAGGAGGTTGTGAGCCACCCAACGTGGGGTACTCCCCATCTTGGGTCCTCTGGAGCAGCAAGCTCTCTTGACCACTGAGTCATCTCTTGAAAAGCAGCAAGATGCAGATCTGAACTCAGAGCAGGATGTCAGGGCGGGTGACTTCTCCGCTTTCCTGTGGTCTCAGTGCACCATCCCTCTCGACAGGAGCCGATCAGGCCTCTATAACCGCCAGGAATCACATCCAGTTGGTGAAGTCGCAGGTGCAGGAGGTGCGCCAGCTCTCCCAGAAAGCCGAAACCAAGCTGGCTGAGGCACAGACCGAAGAGTTGCACCAGAAAACCCAGGAAGCTGTTGACGAGAGGGCTGACCAGGAAGAGGAGGCCTACCTGCGTGAAGATTGAGGGCTTGAGCCCACTGCCCTGTCTGCCCCTCAGTGGGAAAGCGGGAGACGGCATCCACCTAGTGTTGCCCCAACTCTGCGGAGACAGCAGGCCCTGCCCTTACCAGGCAGACCAGAAGCCTTTTGTGAGCTGTCCCTGCCCCTCTGCTCTCAGCCTTTACGGGCCTGGTTCTTAGCCCTTGACGTGGTTCATTCAACACTGTCCCACTCAGCACCTCTCATGCCAATCTTACCTCACTCCCAAAGCAGTTCACCAACCTGGGCCAGAGGAAGAGGGGTCTTTTCTGCTACACCCTTAAGTTCAATCGCTGTTTAGCTCCAGTTTTTAATATTACTCAGATTTTCAAGTATAATTTCAATGTTTGCTCCAGAGGAGGGAGCCTGTCTGGTTTCTAAGATTTATGTTTATAATGTCCTTTGTCCCAGTGAGCACAGCTCAGCTAGGGAGTTTCTCAGCATGACAGTGTTCACCTGGTGCTCCCCACAGGGCTTTTCCAACACACGCTTCTTGTTCGCTCCTTCCTTCCAGAGTTTCTCCACTGTGTCCAAAGGAAGAGAAGTTTGGTGTTTGCATTAAAAAAAAAAAAGTCTTTGTGGCCATCATGCAGTGTCTTTCCTTCACTGCCTAGGTGGTGGGAGTTGTGGGGGCCTTGCCTTCCGGCAGCATCCACTCCCATTCAGCACATGCTCGCTCGACAAGTTTGCCGGGTTGCAGCACTTTGAATCGGGAAAGGTTGGTGACATTATAAAAATGAGTTCATTTCCTGCTGACCAGCAGGGACTGATCTGTTTCTCCTGGTACAGGAAGTCAGCAGCCACTCTAAAGCTGTTTCTCAACCCACCCCTTAGGGCTAGGCTGGGGGGTCACTGCACATTTGAGCCCCTCATCTGTCACCAGTGCCCACATATTCCACATCTCCAGGGGGCTGAGACGGTGCACCAGCAGGAGTCCTCTGTACAAGCAAGGGTCCCAGTTCAGGGGCTGTTGGATTCCAAATGTCTTGAAGCCAGCATGGTGTATGGGGCTCACCCCCAGCTTTTGCAGGCACATCCCCACAAAGACATCATCAATGGGGAAGAGTTCTGCCTTTTCCATGGCTGTGTGAAGATGCCTCACAGTAGCCTGGGACATAACATAGCCACCTCCTCCTGCATAAGGTGGATAGTGGCGGGCCCTGTACATGGAGAATGGGATGAAGTATTTGACCTTGGTGTTCCTGTTGGGCCGGGCCTGGTGGATGACATCGCCCACGAAGAGGTCCTGGGCTGGATCCCGGCCCTCCAGGAACTCGAGCACATTGGGGACATGGATGAAGACGTCATCATCCCCCTTCAGTATGAAGTGGGCCTGTGTGCAGGCGGCCGCCATCCAGCGCTGCACATGCAGCTCCTTGAGTGTCAGGTTGAAGAAGTCCTCGGCAAAGTCCCACTGCAGGATGTCATCGAACTGCCAACTCTCATAGGCCAGCAGCTGGGCTGGGGGTACAGGCCCTGCTACCCCCAGGAGGAACACCAGCTTCACCTGCCGGCCCCTGACCCAGCTCCCAGCCCGGCCCCAAGTGCTCCTAATGGCCGCACGCTGCTCGATATGGCCAGGCTGTGACTTGATGACCAGGAGCAGGAAGGTGTCCCCGGCACACTCGGAAGGTTCCAGCAAGATGGAGAAGTTCCGGCAGTGTCGATAGGTTAGGAAGAGGCGATGGCGGCTGGGCAGGGACAGGGAGGCCTTAGCAATTGCTGGGTTGGGCGAGCACTGGCTGTGCCGGGGCCTTGGCAGTGCCCTTGAGTGCTGGTGGACCTTGGAGCTCCCTGCTGGCGTGCGCCCCTTCAGAAAGAGCAGGCAGCAGAGCAACAATGCCAAGAGGCTGCAGAACAGCCCGCAGCCCAACCTGCGCAACATAGTCGAGGCCCTGCAGGGAGAGAGCGCCTGAGCTAGGCTCACACGGCCCTGGTTTGGGGAGCAAAGTGAGTTTACCTGCAGTCCCTCAGCTAAGTCGTTGCCCGACTCTGGGACCTTTGTCTTGGTTTTTCAAAACAGAGTCTCATTTTTGAGTAGTCCAGCCTAACCTTGAACTAGTGGCCAGTCCCGCCTCAGCCTCCCCAAGGGCTGAGATTATGGGCATGAGCCACTTTGCACAGGTCTTCCCTAGAGGGAAGACTAGAAACACCTGCCTTCCAGGTGCTGCCCTCTTGGCAGGGCTCAGCAGCCAGCCTCTCCCTCCCACGTGGCCTGTAGCTGTCTGTCGTAAAGACATAATAAACACACGGAATTTTAGAGAAAATAGCATAGCTTCAGTCTTGTGTCACATGTATTATATGCATTAAACCTAATGTTTCTGAGCTTTCCACATTCACAACCGATGAACCAAAGCCTAGAGTCAGCCTGGCCTCTGGCAGGTCCTGTACTGAGTTTCTGGGTGATACAGCCCGACACATCAGAGTCCCAGGCCTCTTAGGAGAGGAAACTTCATGACAGGGCAACAGGCCATGGTGGTTCACAGCACAAAAGTCACAGCTTGAGAGGTTAGGGGGAGGGGCAGGTCTCATCCAAGGAACTACATTTTGGGCTACATGCTACCCTCCCTTTTCTCTAGAGTTCCGGTTCACGAAGTCTTAGAGTGACCCAAAGACAAATGGTATTCACCGGAGTAGCCTGCGGTAACACAGCTCACCCTTACTTCCCATTCGTCCCTCCAGGTGTGGCCCAGCCTTGTCTTGCACCCTGCCTAGTAAGTTTTCTGATCCACCCACCCACCCCTCAGGCAGGATCCCGTGCCCCCAATAACCTCAACCCTGCTGTATAGCCACAGATGTTAAACATCTGACCGTCCAGCCCCCACCTCGACAGTGCTGGGATCATAGGCGGGTTATGTGGTGCTGCGAGGCAGGCATGCTACAGCTGAGCCACACCCTGAGCCTCCATACAAATCTGCCTCCTTCCCCTGGAGCGTGGAGCCACAGCCAGAGCCAGCTCCACACCCACACATGGGGACCCCACTCACAGGTGTGGCAGCCGAATCCCTGAATACCCATCACCGCATCTTTCCCATTCTTCTGTTCAAAACCGTCTCTCTGGGTCAGCCTCGTCCCCGTTGTCCCTGGAGATGTCCAGAGCCTCTCTCCTAGCATCCCTAGTGTTAGCCAAGCAGCTAGGAACACTCCGACAGGCATGAGATAGCTCGGACAATGCTAATGAAGTGACTGAGGAAAGGTTACAAGACCTTGGGACATTTGAGCAAGTGCTTGAAGCCCGGGAGCAAAAAGTGACAGGCTGAGGGAGCAGCCAAGCTCCGCGCTGGAGCAGGAGCCACGCAGACAATCTGAAGATGAGGAGAGCATATGGGGGTGGGGGGTGGGGGAGTGGGGGGGTGTGGGGCTAGAGCCTGCTCATTAGAGAGAGCTGGGAATGCCCCACAAGGCTGAGCAGCAACACCTGCGGGTGGAGTCCAGGACTAAATATGTGCCTATGGTTTTAATGTCATTCTTGCTGTGGCTTAGGTAACAGGATGTGAAAGACCTGGGGGAAAGGTGGGGACCGAGGCTGCTCGAAAGCTCTTAGGCTGCAAAGCGGGGCTGGACCTCGCGGAGATGGGGGGGCCCGGGGAGCTGTAATTGCTCCAGGATCTCAGGTGTGAGAAATGGATCGCGGCTGTGCCAAGTCCGCTGCCGCCCGCGCCGCTCACCGAGGGCCGCTCTGGTTTCTCCCGTGACCTGGTAGCCCTCCCACGCCGCAGCACCCCACACCCACCCAAAGTCCCCGAACAGCCCACTTCTCCGTCCCGCGGGACCGGATCCTCCCACCGTGCCACTCGCCCTGGGGGTGTCAGCAGGCCTCAGGCTCCAGCGAAAGGACCCGGGTCAGCTCCATTCTTTCAGCTTGCAGCGCGGTGCGTCCCGGCAACCGCCCGGAGCAGAGCCGAGACGGAGGGGCGACAGGAAGCCGGGCAGCAGAGGCGCCCGCAGGGTGCGGTCCCCGTCCCTCCCGGTAACGGGATCCGGGCGCCGCAGGCCGCGTGACCTCATGCCCCCACCCAAGACCTACCTGAGCTCCCGTGGGGACCGCGCACCTGCAGAGCCTGCGCGGCTTCTCACGATGTGCGCTAGGAAACCCTGCTGGGCGAGGCTCCGAGGCTTCGGGGGCGGGGCTCCGAGGCTTCGGGGGCGGGGCCCCGGCGAAGGCGGAGCTCCGGGGGGAGGAGCAAGGAGCGGGGGCGGGGCTCCAAAAGGAGCAATAGCGAGACTCTTCTGGGCGGGACCCCAGGGGGCGGGGCCAGGTGGAAGGGCGGGATTCCCGGTGGGGGCGGAGCCCGAGGCCCCGCCCCACCATGCTTTCCGCCCGCGGTTGCCTCTGTGCAGGTAGCCGCTGCAGCGCTCCTCCCCACGCCAGTTGGGCGGCCCGCGCCACGCCCCTTCCCCCAGATCAGCCACTACACAGACACCCAAGCTCCGGCCGCAGAACAGCCTTTCTTTACTCTCCCCGGCTAGTCCACCAGGCTGAGGAATGCTTCCTCCCCCGAGCGGTACTGTTGCAGCTGGATCTGGACCTCCACGGTCAGAGGCTCCGGCTGGTACACGCTTTCGAAGGTTGGAACTGCCGTTTTTGACTTTTCTGAGAAAATAAATGTGCCAGCAGATGAGTCCCAAGGGCTGTATAGGCTGCAGGTCTCCCCCGAAACTCTAGCCCTGTTCTCTGACCTAGAGGAACTCAGCTTCTGAAAGAGATCAGGCCTAGAATGTTAGCCGGAATAAAGAGTAAGTTTAGGGGCTGGGGATTTAGCTCAGTGGTAGAGCGCTTGCCTAGCAAGTGCAAGGCCCTGGGTTCGGTCCTCGGCTCAAAAAAAAAAAAAAAAAATAAGTTCAATTGCATCTATCGAGATCATTGAATAAGGCCCAGCTGTTTGAGCTGCAAACGAAATTAGGTGCTTTTTGCCACCAAGCCTGACGGCCTGAGCTCCATCTCCAGGACGCATTTGTCCCTCTGACCTCCACGTGCAAGCCACGGCCCCCGCACAAAATAAATACATAAATAAATAAAAGAAAGAAAGAAAGACACTGAGAATGTAGCTCAGTTCGTGGAGAGCCAGGAGGACTCGGCCCACCCCTACCCCGTGCCATCGCCTTTCCGGGCACATCAGAGCCTGCGGCTGGCAGCTGCGCATTCGGGGCTCTCAGGACGACCCTGGACTTGCTGGATGGAAGTCATTCTCAGTCCCCTCATTCCTGTGGCTCTACACCCAGGATGGCCCCTTTGGCCTCGGTCCTCACCCTGCCCTCAGTAGCCGCCGGTGGGTCTTACCTTTTTTGGGAGCTTTCTTTATCTTCTTTGAATCCTGAGAGAAAGAACCACAAAGGCAGGTGCTTGCTGGGACGGATGCCGACCCTGAGACTGACTCTGGGGGCCACCCACCCATCCCTGGACCTTGGGTTCATCCAGGAACTGGGGGGAGAATTGGTTCCTGCTGACCTGGGCCACACTGGCGAGGAGCTATCACCATACCAGCGACCATCAAGGTGCCCAGGCAGCCCTGACGTACAACCAGGCCCCCCCCCAACCCAACCCCACCCCTCCTGACCTCACCCCACCCCTGCCTGGCCCAGCGAGCTGTCCGTAAGGACAGAAGAGGGGAGGCCGAGACAAAGGGCCTCTTAGTACCCTGGCATTCGTCAACTTGTCAGACTCCAGGGTGCGGACCACCCCAAAATTACACACGGTGGTCACCACTGTCTCCCCCGCCAGCAAGGGCTCCAGGTACACCAGGCCGCTGCCCAGCACGCGCAGCACCGGCGGGTCCTGGCGCAGTTCCCTGGGCGGCTCCTTTTTCTTCTTGGGCGCCTTTTTATCCTGTGGGCAGGGCCACCAGCGCAGGTGTGAGCAGGACTGGGCTGCACTGCCCTCCCTGCCCCCGAGGTGACCCGAGCAGGCCTTACCACGACCTTGGCCGCCTCCTCTGCCTTCTGTTTTTTCCCTTTTCCCTTGTCGTCCTTCCGCTTCTTGTCGTCCTTCCGCTTCTTGTCTTCTTTCTCCTTCTTGCCTTCTTTCTCCTTCTTGCCGGGCAAGAGACTCTTGGCGGGCAAGGGACTCTCGACTGGGGTTGGCAACACAGGCCAGGAGAGAATCTAGAAGACAAGATCGAGCCTCAGGTGAGCAGGGGAGGCTGGCGACTGTGGCCCCACCCCACCTTGTCCTTTCTGGAAAGGCTCTGCCAGGCAACTACGGAGGGAGCAGGGGTATGAGACCAGGACCAGAAAAAGGTCATCCGGAAGGTTGTGGACCCGGAACCCTCCAGCCAATGAGAGGCCAGAGCCCCCGCTCCGCCCACCTTCTCCTCTACGATGGTCACGGTGGTCCCGGCCAGCAGGAAGGCCTTGACCCGCACCAGCTCCTTGAGGGTATGCTTCATCTCATAGTTGCAAGGAATGACGTCCGTCCAGGGCTTTCGGACGGTGCTGAAGAGGACCGTCCTGGGGAGTGAGAGACACGCGGTGTGAAGGTCAGGGGGGCTGTGCTGGCAACCTGGGGCAAGGCTGCCAAGGGACACCCAAGAAGACAGCAAGCACCCACAAATGGTGGGGGACCAAGACCTGGGCAGGGCAAAGGAACCAGAAGGCCAGGAAGGAACACTGGCAAAGAGGCCATCAAGGACAGAGCAGAGGCGGTCTTCTGGGCATGCTCAGTGTGGAACAGCTGACACACACCAGCTAGAATACAGAAAGGTTTTTGTTTGTTTTGTTTTTGAAAGTTTCGGTGGCACATGCCTTTAATCCCAGCACTTGGGAGGCAGAGACAGGCGGATCTCTGTGAGTTCGAGGCCAGCCTGGTCTACAGAGTTCCAGGAAAGGCGCAAAGCTACACAGAGAAACCCTGCCTCGAAAAACCAAAAAAAGAAAAAAAAAAAAGTTTCACTCTATAACCTTGGCTGGCCTAGAACTCACTAAGAGCTGGAGCTGGCCTCAAACTTGAAGTAATCCCCCTGCCTCTACTTCCTCAATGCTAGAATTGCTGGTCTGTAACCACTATGGTCAACTCCAAAGTTTATAAAACAAAATCAGCAAAGTGGGAGGAAAATCATAAACACAAGTCTATGTTTAAGGGGCTGTGTTTGGACATGTGACTAAGTAAACAGCAGAAAAAAATAGACTTTAAAATAAAATGTGAGTACAGGCACATAGTGGGTCACGTGGTAGACTGCTTGCCTATATGCACCAAGCCCTGGGGTCCATCTCCAGCACTGCACAAAACCAGATGTGGTGGCACATGCCTGTAATTCCAACATCTGGGAGTAAGGAGGAGGAAGTTGAGGAATTCAAGGCTAGCCTCAGCTACATAGTAAGTTCAAGGCTAGCTTGGGCTACATGAGACCCTGTCTTAAAAAAAAAAAAAGACAAAAATATCTGAAGCCAAAAAATGGACAGACTGGACTGGAGAAATGAACAACGCAGCAATGTTGGGACAGACTTGAAAACTGGATTTCCAGACTGGCAAGATGGTTCAGTGAGTAGAGCAGCTTGCCACCGTGCCTAAGTATCTGAGTTCTACCTCTGGGGCCCACATTCGAGACAGGGAGAACCGACTCCTGAAAGTTGTCCTCTGATCCCCACATGAGCTTCACGGCTTGTCCCGTGCTCCCATAAATAAATACATGAAGTAACAAACCGTCATTTCAACAACGGGTAACACAGGAAACGTGAACAACCCTGTAAGCTAAGTGGACCTAGCAGTCGCCTACAGCAGGCCCAGCATGACAGTGGCCCACACAGGCTCTTCTCCACGGCACCCTGGACACTGGTTTTCTTCCAGGTCTTGATATGTTGCTGTGGCTGCTCCCAGATTCCTGGGTTAGAGCAATCCTCCGGCCTCCCAGATTCCTGGGTTAGAGCAATCCTCCGGCCTCGGCTTCCTGTGTAGCTGAGACAACAGGTATAGGACTCAAGAGATTTTTACCATCTTTGCTATTGGCTCTCCTCTTCCTCCTCCTCCTCCTCCTCCTCCTCCTCCTCCTCCTCCTCCTCCCTCTTCTTCACTACTGGGGATCAAACCCAGGATCTTGTACATTAGAACAAGTGCAACAGCCTGGGCCTCCCCCAGCATGACTTCATGATCTTCCAGTACACTCTTCACTGCTGCGGATTCCTAATATGCTTCCTAGACTCCTGTACAATGAAGCTTGATAGTATTAAATAATAATCTTCATTTCCCTCAGCTCTTGGCAACTGCCATCCCTTTTTTTTTGCCAATCTCTATGAGTTTGACTAAAAATCATAAAAATGGAAACATGCAGTATTTATTAATCATTTGGCTTATTTCATTAAGCAGAATGTCCTCAAGATTTACCAATATTGCCAGGCGGTGGTGGCGTACACCTTTAATTCCAGCACTTGGGAGGCAGAGCCAGGCGGATCTCTGTGAGTTCGAGGCCAGCCTGGGCTACCAAGTGAGTTCCAGGAGAGGCACAAAGCTACACAGAGAAACCCTGTCTCGAAAAACAAAAAAAAAACAACAACAACAAAAAAAGATTTACCAATATTGCCAGTGTGGTGACCCATGGCTTTAATCCCAGCACTCCAGAGGCAGAGGCAGGCAGATCTCTGAGTTTGAGACCAGCCTGGTCCAGGACAGCAGGGGCTACACAGAGAAACCCTGTCTTGAAAAACAAAACAAACAAAAAACCACCACCACCACCACCAAACCTTCCTTTCATCAAAATTCATATTAAGTGGCTAGAGGGTTGATTTGGCACTTAAGAACACTTACTGCTCTATCCGAGGACCAGGGCTCAGATCCCAGCACCCACAATTGCATGGCTCACAAATACTTGTAATTACAGCTCCAAGGGATGCGACTCCTGCTTCTGACTTCTGTGGGTACCCATACAACACACGCGGTCACGTGTTTATGTGGCAGGCCCTACACCTACTGTGGGAGCCCACAGAGGTTTCCCAGTGAGAGCTGAGCTTGCTTTACCAGCAGGGCTGAATAAGAGGATGATTGGACCACGGGTCTGGTCACCAGGTGTTTGGAAGGGTCTACACTTGGCTGTATCTAGCAAGGGGGAGGTCTTTTGCCTCGCCCCTTGGCCTTGTTATAAAAAGCCCTTTTGAATAAAGTTCTGGGCCGGTGGATAAGGATCCAGGCCCTCCCTAGGCTATCCTGTGTTTCTGTCTTTTTCTCTCCCCTCTGTCCTTCCATCTAAATCTCTTATCCCTCTCTCCTCAAGAGTACCCTGGGGTAAAAAGGCAGGGGCTGGTCCCCCACAACTCACTGCGCCATCTCCCAACCCAAGCACTCGGGCTTTGAAAGGTTCCCACCACTCTGTAACTGGTCAGAGTTCACTGGGTCTGGACAGTCTGCACAGTGTGGAATTGTAGATGTCAGGCAATGGGGCCCATGTGACCAGACTCCGATGAAAACAGAACCGCCTGGCTTAGGCAAGCTTCTCCATGAGACATCATTTCTCAAGAACTGTCACAGCTTGTTGACCTACCGTGTGACCCCAGCATGACTCTACTAAGACTGGACTCTTAGAAGCTTAAAGCCTGGGCCTGATTTCCTCCGGACTTTCCCCACATACCTCTTCATTCCTTCATTCATTCCTTCATCCATTCATTCATTCATTCGAGACACTCATTCTATAGCCCAAGCAGACCTCAAGCTCACAATCCTCCTGCTTCAGCTTCCTAAACTAGGATTACAAGCATGTATCACCATGTTCACCCTATCTCTCTCTGTTTTTGGGACAGGGTTTCTCTGTCTTAAAACTCACTCTGTAGACCAGGCTGGCCTCGAACTTACAGATATCTGCCTGCCTCTTCCCCCCAAATGCTGGGATTAAGGGTGTCGGCCAACACACCCAGCCGCTTACCCTCTCTTACTAATATTCCCCCAAGTAAAGAAGCAATGATAAAAATTTCTCCGCTTGAGCCCTGCCGAGCAGCACAGACTACAGGGGGTCCCGGTTCAATTCCCGGCATCAAAACTAAACGCAACAAAAACAGACGACTCAGAGGGGACCCCCCTCGGCTCTTGACACAGAGTCAGCTGAGTCCATCCCTGCTTCTTTCAGGGCAGTGGAATCAGGACAGCTGCTTCCCTGCTCCGTCACCTCCATCATCCCTGGGAGCGGAGGCCCCAGAATCCAGGCAACACCAGCTCCCGGGATCTCAGCAAGTTTAGATCGGGTACTCAGCAGAGGTTTAAACTCGGTGCAGCTCGGTCCTAGGGATGTTCTGCAGACACTGAGGCTCGGGTTCCCTCCCAGCACCACCAAGCCCAAGAACTCTTACAGCCCATGTTAGAAGCTAACCTCTTACTCCCCAGGAGCCCAGAGTGGCAAAGCCCACGAAAGGTCAAAGCCTGTGAATCAGAGCTCAGCCACGTTATGTTTAAATAGCCACATTGTTTCCTGCATTCTTATGAAAGCCAGCAGGAAATTCATCACTTGGATACATACCAAGATGTGTTTGTGTGCGTGGGTGCGTGCATGAGTGCATGAGTGTGTGCGTGCTCACACGTGAAAAAAAATGAGTGTGTGCGTGCTCACACGTGAAAATTGGGTTTACTAGGCAACAAAAACCTAGTTGGTAGGACTGGTGGTGCCTGGAATTTGAGCTACTCAGGGGCTGAGCCAGGAAGATCACAGGTTCAAGGCTGGCCTAGGAAACTTAGTGAGTCTTTGTATCCAAGCACAAAGGGAAAAAAGGCTGGGGATGGGGGCTCCGCCATAGAGTGCTTGTCTAGTGGCATGAGGCCATTGCTTCAGCCTCTAGGACTGCAACCAAAACAAAGAACCTAGTGCCTGGAACCGAGTGCCCTCGCTACCTTTTCTATGAACACATCCCAGATGGATTGAAAAGCTAAAGGGGGCTGGAGAGACAGCGCAGAGATTAGGAGCACCCGCTGCTGCTCTTGCAGAAGACCCAGGTTCGGTTCCCAGCACCCACATGGCAGTTCACAACCAGCTGTAACTCCAATTCCAGAGGATCCTGTAACCTCTGGACTCCTCAGGCATCAGACACATATGCAGTACACTTATGTACATGCAGGAAAAATACTCATACACAGAAAGTAATCACGTTTGGTGTTTTTGTTTGTTTGTTTGTTTTTTAAAAGAAAAGCTATAAGAATCCAATTCCAGCCAGGCGGCAGTGGCGCTTCCCTTTAATCCCAGTTCTTGGGAGGCAGAGCCAAGCGGATCTCTGTGAGTTCAAGGCCAGCCTGGTCTACAGAGTAAGATCCAGGACAGGCTCCAAAGCTACACAGAGAAATCTTGTCTCAAAAAACAAAACAAAACAAACAAACAAAAAACAAAAAAAGAATCCAGTTCCAATAGCTGAGATGGAAGCTGTCCCACATCTTCTCCATTGACAGGAGAGTCGATCTTTCAAAGAATTTTACCCCCCCACCCCCAGGCATCTGGAGGTCCGTTGTACTGAGGGGAAGGTTGGGGCTCCAGAAAAGAAGGGTCTGTGGCTAAGCCCAAACCTACCTCTAGCTCACAGCCTACAGGCGGGCTAATGAGAAGGCCCGGCCTCGGTAATTCTGCAGCCCTGGCTGGCCCAGCCACCACGGTTACCCCACCTACCCCAGCCACCTTCTACCCTTACCCCGGGGACGGACAGAGCCGTGCATCTATGCGTGGCCGCAGCTTTGACAATTCTTCTGAAGAGTCAATGGACTGCGGCAGGGGGGCGGAGCGGATGGAAATGGTCGTCTCCGACTCCTCCATATCCGTTATCCCAGACTCTCCGGAGTCCTCGGCCATCAGATTCATCTCAGCTATAAACTCAGACATCTCCTGGGACACGTCCTTGGGAGACTCTTGGCGCGTCTTCTGACGGCCACCCTGGCGGGGCTGGCGGACCTGGCGGGCTGGGCGCTGGGGCCCCGCGGGGCGGCCCACCGACAGAACCTCCTGTTGGTCCTCCTCGTGACCCTCCTCATCTAACTGCACCGTGCTGGAGGAGGGCTCGATCTGCTAGCAAAAGACAAACAAGCCTCAGTGAGTGTGGACACGGGCAAACGTCTGGGTACCTTATGGATCTGTGGTGCTGGAGATGGAGCGCAGGGCCAGGCAGGCGCTTTACCACTTAGCCATATCCCAGCCCTATACCACCTTAAAGCATGATCCGACACACCAACTTAGGAGGCGGAGACAAAGGCCATCTGAACAAATATGACAGGCTTCTCCACGTGGTGTCCTTGGGTTTGCCTGAGATGCAGAGGCCGGGAGGGAGATCTTGTAGAGTGGGCCAGGGACAACCGACTTGAGGGGAAAAGTCTGCTCTGCTTCCTGAGGTGTCACAGGGACAGGAGGTGAGCATGACTGAGACTCACTCTGCCTGGGGGAAGGGGCAAGCAGGCAGAAACCAGGTCCCTGAATGGAGGAGATGCATGATGCTGTGTTGGAGATTTTTTTTTGGGGGGGGGTGGTAAAAAGCTGTTCCGTGTGCACACAAAAGCATGCAGGCCTGCCTGTGTGAAGCCCCCTCCGCCCCCCAGACTGGCAGGGCATACCTCAGCCAGAACGCTGTCAGGCTGCATCTCGGCCATCGCGCTGGCGAAGGCCTTCTTTTCGCCTTCCTCGTCCTCCACGAAGTCATAGGTCACATAATAGCTGTAGCTGATGAAGGGGCCATCAGGTCCCGGCTCCGGGTCCAAGATAGAGGTGTCCATCACCCCCCTGACATTTCCAATGGTCACCACAAACTGTGCCTCACATGCCAACATGTCTGCAAGGAGTAATTAATGGCAGGCTTGAGGGACCGGGGCTGGAGTAGGGAAAAGCAAAGACATAGGTCTGGTGACCTCCCCACCCCGCACAGTTAGAGCCCCCCGACTCTGCCAAGTTCGGTGGGAGTGAGCTGTTAGATACTCTGAAGCCTTGTTTTCCCATTTGCCCAATGGGGGTGCTGAGAGGTGCGTGACAGAGACAGTTCTGAGAGACAGAGAGAGACAGAGACAGGTGGAAAACCTCTGCTACCCCAGCTGGTGTCTGTGACTGCGGCTACCGCTGCCCCCGTCACAAGTCACACCGCTTGGACTGTCCAAGGGCTCTCATGCACCTTGTATCAGGAGCCACAAGGGGGTGATGTCAAGCCACCACAGAAACAAGATCTACACGGAACAGAAGCCGCCCCAAGTCCCGACAACCACGGGGGTCCTACATAGAGAAAGCCCAACCAAGGTAGCTTAGTGTACCCGACCCTGGGTTCAAGGGCAAACAGAGAGTTGCTGGCGAGCTTCTGGGACTGAGGTGGGTGAAACAGAGACCGGGGACGTGTGAGGCACCTACCACCGTGAATGCTGAGTCCCCGAAACTGGTGCTTCTCGCTGGGGGACACGGTGATGTCATCCAGCACGCAGAGGTGTGTCAGGCTGTCCACGGTAAAGCCACGGTAGTATGGCACCAGGGCCAGTGGGTTCCCCTGCAGCACTAGCAGCCTCAGGTGCTGCAGGGTGCTGAGCCCCCCTAGCATGCTCTGCAGGTCCGTCAAGTCGTTGAAGCTCAGGTCCAGGGAGACGAGTTTGGGCCTGGAAGGTTGGCCACGCTACTGGTTAGGAAGTTCGGTGAGCGGGGGTACAGCACTCTGGGCTACACGCCTTGTTCTGTCCCTGGACCCAGATCAGCTCTGGAGTGTGCGTCTCCTTTCTCATCCAGCACACAGCCTGAGTTCCTGGACTCTCCCAGCGCCCCCCCCCCCACCTCACTTCCACCTGCACCTCCCTCTCTGTTAACTAGCAGCCTAGTGCCGTGCCTCTAGAACATGCTGGAAGCCGCTGGAGGAGGGTGGGGAGGAGGGGGAGTGTGGGGATCAGGAAGAAGGGTGCACTGGGCTGTGGCACCCAGAGATAACGGAGCTGGAAATCTCTCTTCAAAGCCCTAAGGGCCATGGCCACGGGGAGCTGGCCAGCTCACGTTCTAGGGGACACGGGAGAAGAAGAAAGAGTATTCCAGTGTGAGCACGTGAGACAGGCAGGCAACGATGAAGCCCAGGCCTCCGGTGGGGACCAAGACGCAGGAACAGGTAGAGTTCTGTCCGGTGCCACAAGCCACAGAGCAAGCCGACTCTGAGACCAGAAGCCGAAGAAGCACCAGGGAATATTGTCCCGGCAAATGTCATGGTCTCCCCAGCGCCCTTCCCACTGGCTGAACCCAGCCTCTTCCCAGGCCTGATCTGCTGTGACAGTCGCTGGCCAGTCCCTGGAAAATGGCATGAGGAACACCGCAGGGGATTGTCGCAGGCCCTGAACAAAGTCACCCTTCCTCAAGAGAACTGGCGAGAACTGGAGTCCCAGGAAAGAGTCTCCCTTTTAACTAACAGGGAACGGTGGGTTTCATGCAAGCTTCTTGTGAAGTCCAGAGCTGGCATTAAGTCCAAGGTTATGGTATATATTTTGAATCAAAAAGCCAGATACTTGCTCTCAGTCAACGGCATGAACCTAAATTGGCTCTCCCAGGAAGATCAAGTTCGGGAGATAAGAGGGTGTGTGTGTGTGTGTGTGTGTGTGTGTGTGTGTGTGTGTGTGTGTGTGTGTGTGTGTGTGTGTGTGTGTGTGTGTGTGTGTGTGTGTGTGTGTGTGTGTGTGTGTGTGTGTGTGTGTGTAGGGGGTCCTGTCTGTCTTGTTTGCTGAAGGCAGAGGACAATGGAGGAAGGAACCCCAGTGAGCCGAGAGACTATGCAGATTGGCTGAGAACAGCAGAGGAAGCCTGAGCCTGAGGTCACCAGAGAGGGCCTTCCTTTCCCACGACACCTTCCGTCTCCAAGAGGCAATGGTTGAACCGTCCTTGAGACACTGGGGCAGGGGTGAAGGAAGGAGATCAGGAGTTCTACCATATCTTAACTGTGTGTTGAGTTTGAGGCAAGCCTGGGCTACATTAGATCCTGTCTTCCAAAGAAAGGGGATGAGGGGAAGGAGAGGTGAGGGGAGACATGGAGAAGGGGCAGTATAAAACCCCTCCTATGGAAATACCCTCAGGTGCTGAAGTCCTGGGGCTCTTGCCAGGGGCCATCCTTCTGTCCCAACTCCCTGTGACAGACCGCCTTTTATAAGTGGCATCTGGCTGGGGCGGTGGTGGCACGAGCCTTTAATTCCAGCACTTGGGAGGCAGAGGCAGGGCAATCTCTATGAGTTTGAGGCCAGCCTGGGCTACAAAGCAAGTTCCAGGACAGCCAGAACGGTTACACAGAGAAGCCCTATCTCGAAAAACAAAACAAAACAAAAAGTGGCCTCTGATCTCTTCATACTTCTCGCATCCCGAATTTTCAGTTTTCAGCTGTTAATCCACCAAGGAGACAAAAACTGAGGATGGGAAGGGTGCCCTGCACAAGCTCTAATGGACTTCAGCAACAATGGAGCACCCCAAAAGTTGTCTCTAAGACAGTGGTTCTCAGCCTCGGGTGGTCTGCTCCTTGGAAGACCTTGGGCTGTGCCTCTCCAGATTTTTGATGACCATGAGGAAGGGCAGGGAGAGGCAGAGCCCCACTAGCACCCAGCAGAGCAGCTGGAGGCCAGTTTCCTGCTAAATGTCCCCCAGACTGAAAGCATGAAACGTCACAGGGCTAAGCTGAGGACCCCGGTCATCAAGTATGGATTCCACTCATCGCTACCGGCCCCGGGCATCCGTGTCCTTCCTGGAGTTTCAGTGGGATATTATGATTGAGTGAGAACATAAACTCCTAGTGTGGCCTTAGCAGCCATGTAGAAGTCACAGAACAAGCAGGGTCGAGTTACCCACACCCTCTCCTGCCCCTGCACCCCGCACACACACACCCCCCCCCCCCCCGTTTCTCCCAGCCTCCCAAGTTACCAGTTGTTGGAGGTGACATACAGACTCTGCAAAGGGCCCAGCAGTTTGTTGTGGCCTAGCCCCAAGTGCTGCAGGTTCGGGGGTGCGGGTGAGCACAGACACTCCATGCTGCTGATCAAGTTGCCGTACAGCTCCAGCACCTGAGAAGGGGCAGCGTCAACCGTGACTTGGAGGGGTTTGTCTCACTCACCACAGGCCACCCCCTACTCCTGCCCTGGGAGAGGCAGAAGGGAGTTGGGGTTGCCAACTTGCTTAAAAAAAATACAGTAGGGGCTGGAGAGATGGCTCAGAGGTTAAGAGCACTGACTGCTCTTCCAGAGGTCCTGAGTTCAATTCCCAGCAACCACATGGTGGCTCAGAACCATCTGTAATAAGATCTGGTGCCCTCTTCTGGCCTGCAGTCATACATGCTGTAAACATAATAAATAAATAAATCTTAAAAAAGAAAATACAGTAAGAGGCTGGGGTGTAGCTGGACTGGATGAGACCTTACCTAGCACGCACAGGACCCCGAGGGCCATCTCTACTACTGAATAACCTAGCGGGTGGTATCCTCCTGTAATCCCAATATTTGACAGGCAGAGGCAAAGGATAAAGAGCTCAAGGTTTCCAGACAGTGGTGGTGGCGCACGCCTTAATCCCAGCACTTGGGAGACAGAGGCAGGTGGATCTCTGTGAGTTCAAGGCCAGCCTGGTCTACAGAGTGAGTTTGAGGACAACCAGGGCTACATAGAGAAACTCTGTCTTGGAAAAAAACAAACAAATAAACAAACAAACCACAAAAAAAACAAAAAACAAAAAGAGTTCAATATCATCCTCGACGACATAGAGAGTTTGACTCTGGGCTAGAATACAGGAGACCCTGTCTGGAAAAAACAAAAGTGTGGGGGGGGGGTCTGAGAATTAATACAAGCCCTTGCTGTGCAAGCCTGCTGACCTGAGTGTGATGCCCAAATCCCAGAGAGGAAGGACAGACACAATTGTAAAGCTGTCCTCTGACACATGTACCACGGCACACGTGACACCCCCCCCCAACAAAACAATAACATTTAAAACAAAAAAATTTACTGTAGGAAGAGTGGGTGAGGCGGCATGGACCTCCAACCCCAGTACTCAGGACTCTGAAACAGAAGGTTCTCGAGTTCCTGTCTCCCTTGGGCTACACAGAAATTCCAAGTCAGCCTAGACCACACAGCACCACCTTGCTCAAAAGAGAAATCAAATGGGGGGTGGGTGGGTGGGTAGGAAGAACATGCTGCCCCAGCTGGGGAAGGTTCTTTACAGTTTGGAAGGGGAGGTGGAAGGGAGTGGTGGGTCAGATGCATACAGTCTAGAATCCTCTTTTTTTCCCCAGTTTTTCGAGACAGAGTTTCTCTTGTGTAGTTTTGGTGCCTGTCCTGGATCTTGCTCTGTAGACTAGGCTGGCCTCGAACTCACAGAGATCCACCTGGCTCTGCCTCCTGAGTGCTGGGACTAAAGGCGTGTGCCACCCCCTAAAACCTTCTTAACCCATGGGAATACACAGGGGCGGGGTGGGCCACAGAATAAGCCCTGATTTAGCAACATCTTTTTCTTCACGTGTACTTGACTAAGGCCCATCTGGTACTGTCTTGAGCACGGGCTGGGACAAGGCACCGAGTCTCCTCTCGGCATTGACCGTCAGTGGGGCCTTCTTGATACGCTTAGCATGAGAAAGTCTGGTCTTATCTGAGGTGCATGTGCGTGTGCGTGTGTGTGTGTGTGTGTGTGTGTGTGTGTGTGTGTGTGTGTGTGTGTGTGTGTATGTGTGTGTGTGTGTGTAGAGGCCAGGAGACAGCCTCAGCTTCCTCAGAAGTCACTTCCTTTGTTTTTTGAAACGGTCTCCCATTGACCTGGAACTTACTATACAGACAGGCTGGCTGGCCGGAGTGTCTCAGTGATCCCCCTGTCTCTGCCTCCCCAACACTGAGATTAATAGCACACCCCACATTTTCCACACGGGTTCTGGAGAGCCAGCTCAAGTCTCCATGCTTGTAAGGCAATCCCTTTACCCAGAGCTGGCTCCCCAGCCCCTCACCTATTGTTTTAACACGGTGAAGTTCAGATCCTGCAAATCTGCCGTTTCAAGCATACAGTTCACAGCTTTAATTACACTCACAATGCCAGTTCCCACCATCACCTCAAACAGACCTTTGAAAGAAACAAAACAAGCAAACAAAACCCCCTCTAAGCAGTAAGTTCTCCGGGATCTTCCCGGGCCCCGGGACCTCTACTGGCCTCTGTTTTGTGGACTTTCCCCTTCTACATATTGCGTTAAGTGCAATTATACCTAAGATCCCTCTCTCGGGGCTGGAGAGATGGCTCAGCGGTTAAGAGCACTGGCTGTTCTTCCAGAGGACCCGGGTTCAACTCCCAGGACCCACACATGGCAGTTCACAACTGTCCATGACTCCTGTTCCAGGGGACCCGACATCCTACACAGACATACATGCAGGCAAAACACCAATGTACATAAAATACAAATAAATAAATTATTTAAAAAAATCTCTCTTTGAAATCTTGTTTCATTCATCTAGTGTGATGTTTTCTTCCTTTTTTTTTTTTTTAATAAGTGAACAATATTCCATTGCATGGAGAGACCACATTTTGTTTATCTGTTCATGTGGCCACAGGTCTCAGGTCATTGTTGTGAGTAGCAGGGCTAGGAAACAAGACCTTCCCTGGGTCCGTCCTTCCTTCCTGTTCTTGTGGGCATGCGCCCTGGATGGGAGGGAACTGCTGAGTTCAATAGAATTATGTTACTTTTTAAGAAACATGACCTGTTGTTTTGTTTGTTTGTTTATTTGTTTGTTTTTCAAGACAGGGTTTCTCTGTGTAACCCTGGCTGGCCTGGAACTCACTCTGTAGACCAGGCTGGCCTGGAACTCAGTGAGATCCACTTGCCTCTGACTCCTGAGTGCTGGGATTAAAGGCGTGTGCCACCATCGCCCGGCCAAGACCTATGTTTTAGAAGCCTGGGGCTGGTTCTTAGCACACAGCCACCCTGGCCAGAGCCATGCGGGGCAGGTTAAGAGCAGGCCCTCCTGAGCTGCCCTGAGCCTCCGTAACAGAACCTGTACCTTCAATGTTGGGGGCAGATTGTTAGCATCGATGTCCTCAATTTCGTTGGCACTCAGAATCAACTCCTCCAGCTTTAGAAATTTCAAGAGGTCTTTATCCACCAGACTCACCTGGAAGGAGAGGAAGGGAAACTGAGGACTCGGGCGAGCCAGGCAGCACTGGATGTTCACCCAAGAAAGGTAGCAGCAGTGTTAGCTACTGTCCTGCTGCTGTGACAAAACCCCATGACAAAGCAACTCGAGGAGTTTATGTTGGCTTATGGCTCCAGAGGGCTAGGTGTTCATAACGGAGGGGAAGGCCTGGCAGCCGGCCGGAAGCTGAGCCATCACACTCCAACCACATACAGGAAGCAGAGAGAACAAGGAAGTGGGGTGAAGCTACAGGCCCTCAAAGCCCACCCTCAGGGATGGACTTCCTCCAGCAAGGCTGCCCCTCCCAAAGGTTCCACTCCCTCCCCAAAAGAACTGGGGAACAAGTGTTCAGACACCCAAGTCTGTGGGGGACATCTCTCAGTCGGAGTACCGCTACTGGTCATCCATTCCCAGGTAAGCCCCAGGTCCACCCACTTCCCACCCTTTCCTCTCCTACATCACCGCCCACAGGGTACGGTTTTGAGGGTTAAAGGGACCTCTTCCAGCCCAGCCCTGACTCTAAAAGCAGGCTTTTCTTTCCAGGCCAGTGTCCTGTGTCCATCCTATGTTGGGTCATGGGACTCTTGTGAAAACAAGAATCCTTCTTCTGTCTACACAGCACATGAGCCCAAGGAACTACGGCTGTAAGGGGGACCAACCCTCAGGGCAATTCCATCTTGCTGCCAGCTGCCATTTAGCTGTTCTTGAGGCCAAGCAAACAGTGTTTCCTGAGACCAGCAGAGTTTCTGGAGCACACATAACACTCACTGCATGGTCTGGTTTTGTCTGCACCCTGTAGTCCGAGCCTGTACTCAGGCTTGCCTAGGTCCCTCTGTGTGCTCAGAGGCAAACAAAAGAGGATTTTGGTAAATGGGAGAGTGGAAGGATGTAGGGAGGTCTGGGCAGGGAGGCGAGTGTTTGCATCCATCATTTCCATCAGCAACTCAATAAACACAGTAGACTCACCAACATGAATTTCAGTGAGTCATTCTTGGGGCTGTTGGCACTTCCTGTAAAATTTTACATCTTCCCAAGAAAATCATGTAACAGTTGCCCTGCCTGGTCTCCCAGAATGACTGTGGGTCAGACGGAGCAGGGAGCAGGACCTACCAGCTGCCTCCTCACCCTACCCGTGAATCCCAATTTCCTGTGGCCTCAGGACACCAGAGGCCCTTCCAGGCTGAGCTTCTCTTTCGTACACTGACCGAGTCTCCTAGTTTGCCCAGGATTGAGGGGAGGGTTCCCCCAGGACTCAGAAAGTCCCAGACAAAATGGTATGAATGGGTCACAGGAGAAGGAAAGACCCAGGAAGGCTAGGTGTCTTTCCCATTTTTATGTCTTATTAATATGACAGCTTTTGAAAAGCAGACCTGCTTGATGTTAGCCAGCCCTCTCCAGGTCCTCTCTCCACACTCTAAAAAGAAACATTGTGGTCCCTTGAAAGGTCCCGAGTAAAACTGGGGGAGGACCCACTGTAGAGAGTGCAAGGAGTTAGCCAAAGGGGATCCAGGACTGAGCTCCTCCGGGGTTAGAAACGGAGAGACAGACAGCAGATGGGGTTAGAGGGACAGAGTTACACAACCAAGGTCACCGAGGCCCTCCTGTTGCCCAAGGAGAGTTCTAATGGACAGGGTCCCCCAGGACCAGCTCCCGAGGCTGCCCGCTCCCTCCCTCCCAGAGCTCAGCCCCACACTTACCCCCTTGTCCACTACCCGCAGGGACCGGAAATAGGAGTAGAAAAAAGTGTCTTTGATCATCAGCGGATGCTGGATGGCCAGTTCTCTCAGGAAACGGTCCTCAGCACTGGAGTCCTTCATCAAAACCCAGGGAGAGTGGGTGCTGCGGACCAAGCCCAGCAGGGTCTCCACAGTCTCCTCCTGGGCGCTCACTGTCTCTTCCTCCTTGGGGACCAACTCCCTCCAGGTTCGCCATCTTTGAGGAAGAAAGCGTGACTTATTCTGCAGAGGTAGAGAAGGAAGGCCTTTTCACGTTGATTTATTGGGTTGTGCCTGGGTGTGTGTTCATGTGTCCACCCCAGCAAGTGCGCGTGGAGCTCTGTATTAGTCAGGGTTCTCTAGAGAAACAAAGCATGCATGAAACCACACATGCACACGGGATTAAAGGGGACTTATCAGAGTGGCTTTACAGACTGCGGCAGTCCAACAATGGCTGTCTACCGCGGAAGGTCCAAGAATCCAGTAATGGTGCAGGCTACAAGGCTGGATGTCTCAGCTCATCTTCAGTGTGTGCCAGAATCCTGAAGAAGTCGGCTCTAATGCCAGTGAAGAGAGCTAGAGCAAGCGGGCAAAGAGAACCAGCTTCCTTCTTCATGTCCTTTATATAGGTTGTCAGCAGGAGGTGTGGCCCCCGTTGAAAGTGGGTCTTCCCACCTCAAAAGATCCAGATGAGCCGGGCAGTGGTGGCCCCTGCCTTTAATCCCAGCACTCGGGAGGCAGAGGCAGGCGGATCTCTGTGAGTTCCCAGCCTGGTCTCCAAAGCGAGTTCCAGGAAAGGCGCAAAGCTACACAGAGAAACCCTGTCTTGAAACAAAACAAAACAAAACAAAAAAACAAACAAAAAAAGATCCAGATGAAAAGTGGATCTTCTTGCCAGGTGGTGGTGACACACACCTTAAAAAAACCCAGCACTCAGGAAGCAGACTCAGGCAGATCTTTGTGAGTTCGAGGCCAGTCTGATCTTCAGAGTGAGTTCTAGGACAGCCAGAGCTACACAGAGAAACCCTGTCTCAAAAAACTGAAAAACAAAAAAACAAAGTGGTCTTCTCACTTCAGATGACTTATTTAAGGGAAAAAAAATCCCTTACAGATATACTCAGCTACTTGGATTTTAGTTAATTCTGGATGCAATCAAGAATAGCCTTCCTGGGCTCAGAGAACGATCTTCAGGAATTGCTTGTCTCTTATCACTTGGTTCCCAGGGATCAAATGCAGCTCATCATGGTTGACAGGAAGAACCTTACACACTGAACTGTCACATTGGTCCTGCCTGTCCGAGACAGGGTCTTATGTAGATCAGGCTGGCTTTGAACTCACTGCATAGCTGACGGACGGTTACCTCGAACCCCTCGATCCTCCTGCTTCTACCTCCCAAGCTGAGGGACTATAGGCATGCACCCCCCACATGAGGTGTGATGAGATGTGGGAGCTCAAACCCAGGGCTTTGTGAATGCTAGAAAAGACTACCAACCAAGCTATATGCCTGGCACATGATAATTATTTGTGGGGGCAGAGTTTTGCAGTGTAGCCCAGGCTGGCCTTGAACTCTCAATTCTCCTGTCTCGGCCTCCCAAGTACTGAAATTACTGATGTGCGCCACCACACCTAACAAGACAGAATAGTTCAAAGACCAAGTTCCTGTTTTCACATCACTCTGGAGTTGGGAACTTTGAACGTGCAAAACAGAATATAGATTTGGGGCCTGGAGAAGTGGTTCAGTCAGTAGTTAAGAACACTTCCGCTCTTCCAGAAGACCCAAGTTCAGTTCCCGGCACCCATCTTAGGCAGCTCAAAAGTGCCTATAATTCCAGCCTCGGGAGATCGAATGCACTCTTCCAGCCTGGGAGCATCCGCCCTGACAGGCACATACCCACACAGAGACATACGATTACGAATAATGTAATGAGGGGTTGTGGATTTAGCTCAGTGGTAGAGCGCTTGCCTAGCAAGCACAAGGCCCTGGGTTCGGTCCTCAGCTCCGACAAATAAAAGAATAATGTAATGAATCAATGCAATAAAAGGAGATTCCATGTTTGACAGGGCACTTTATGCATGTGTACAGGAGGCTGGGTGGGCAATCTGGGAAACTGAAGATTCACAGAGGGAAGGCTTTCTGAAGAGGCGGCAACGTGAAAGGTGAAACCTGAGTAAAAGATGAGTCTGCTCCTCGGAATTCACTCCCTCCAGGTGACGGTTGAAATCCGGCTCTTCAGATTTTATGGGCTGGTTTTCTTTGGTGCTGGGGGGTGGGACTAAAGTCCTCACCCTGGACAAACACTCACCCAAAACCCTCTGCCACTTAGCCTCATCTCTCCCTAGATGTTCCAAAGCTTAGAACAGTGCCTAGTACAGGGGAGGCATTCAGCCTGCGTCCGTTGACCAAACAAATGGAGTGTGTCCCTGATGGGTGTCTGTTTGCCTCTATAGAGGGAAGGCCAGTTTGGCTGTTTTACTTGGGTAGAGCATAGGGTAGGTCCAGCTGACAGCCAAGACCCCATCTGGCTGATTCCGACCTCTTAAGACACATCTGACAGACCTCTAAATCTAACCGTGCTTCTCATCACCACCCTGTGCACCCAGCTGATGACATCGGCCACGGTCTCTCTGCATACTGAGCAGGATGAATGCACAAGCGAAGGCAATAGAGAAAGGACCTTCCTGCCCTGTCGGACCAGATTTTTTTTCCTCCAGTTGTGCTGACTGTGCCCTTGGCTGGATTTCCCTCAGTCTCTCCTCAGCCTGGAAGCGGGGCCGAGGTCATGGAGCACCTAGGCTTTCCAGCTAGAGGAGGGAGGGGGACAGGGATGGAGGGCCAGAAGACCCTTCCCACAGGAGTCCTCAGAAAGAGGAAAGCTAGCCCTGTGGCCCCAGAGCACAGGGGAACCATTCCCTCTACATCTTCTCATGAGGGGCTGCAGAGCACACTGTTCAAGACCAAAGCTCTTCCTTCACTCAGGGATCTCTTCACTCTGGCATCTGGAGGCTGGCCAGCCGGGTGCTCTAGGCTAGCACGAGGCCAAAGGTCAGCTTGATGTGCTGGGTCCGTCCATTCCAGGTCGGTGCCCCCATAGCAAGGTGAGCACTTAGCCCCTGAACCCCTTCAGTGTTCCAGTCCCCACGGTTCACCCCAACTCCCAAATCAGCCAATGCCCAAACGACCACATCCAAACCTCTCCCCAGACCTGAAACTCGTATCTGAGCATCTCCTGACCCCTAGGGCAGCCCAGGTCCCAGCTAGGTACCACCTACTCCAGTCTACTCCCTGTGGCTACTCCGGCTCAGTCCCAGGTCCACCTCTGCTGGACCCTTGCCTCCCCTCTCCCTCCCACCCCCGCGTGGGGAGCACGCACCCAGCTCCCGGTGCCACACGGGAATTCACGCAGACACAGCTTCCGAAGGTGCTCGTGCACAGCGGTGCTCAAGGTCCCGGTCTTTCTTTCGCTGGCGCTGGAGTCTCTGGTCTCCATGCTGCCTGAGGCAGGCTCGTTGCTAGGCAACCGCCAGACGCGTTACCCTGGATGCAAAGAGCAGGTGGAAGCCAACTCGTCCCAGTTATCAAAGCCCCCAGCTAAGCTCCTCCTACCAGGCCAGCTGCGAGAGCACCTACAACAGCAGGTGGTGGGCGCCGCTTAGGGGATTCTTTCTCTCCTCCCAAAGATCGACTGTGGAAAGTGCCGACCGATGTCCCCACTCGGCAGATCAAAAGAGGCAACATTAGTGCAAGGTTAAACATTTTAGGACTCCAATCAGGGGATCCCAGCATGGTTCTCCCTATCTAACCATTTGAGCGCCAGACCCATTTTAGACTCATCCAATCTTATCTTGCCATCATCCCCTGAATCACCTCCTCCACATAGCAGGGGCTCTCCCTCCGCCCGTGGTCTCTGAAATTAATGGGATGAGATGACTCTAATCAGGAAACGTAACATCTTTGTTGAGGTATGATTTAGGTACCCTAAAACTCAAAAGCGCCCAGTTCTGTGATTTTTGTTGTATTCATAGTGCAACTGTAATCTGCTTTGTACCACTGTGATCTTATCGTTTCTCCTCAAGTTGCAAAGCATGAAGCCAACGGCCATTGTACCATCTGCTCAGCCAATGGCCAACGGTGATTCACTTTCACTTTGGGGATCTATCTATGCATTTGCTGGCTTCTTCCAAAGGTGGAGCCATATTATGCGAGATTTTTTTTTTTTTTTTTTTTACAAGACAGGTTTTCTCTGTATAACAGGCCTGGCTGTCCTGGAACTCACGCTGTAGACCAGGCTGGCCTGGAACTCACAGAGATCTGCCTGGCTCTGCCTCCCAAGTGCTACGATTATTTTATTTTTATTAAAAGATTTTCAGCCGGGCGGTGGTGGCGCATGCCTTTAATCCCAGCACTCGGGAGGCAGAGCCAGGCGGATCTCTGTGAGTTCGAGGCCAGCCTGGGCTACGAAGTGAGTTCCAGGACAGGCGCAAAGCTACACAGAGAAACCCTGTCTCGAAAAACCAAAAAAAAAAAAAAAAAAAAGATTTTCTATTCATTTTATATACCAACCACAGATTCCCCCTCTCCTCCCTCCTCCTGCCCCCCCCCCCTCAGACTTCCCCCCAACCTACCCCCATTCCCACCTCTTCCAAGGTCTCTCACAGGGAGTCAGCAGAGCCTGGTACATTCAGCTGAGTCAGGACCAAGACCCTCCTGCCTGCATCAAGACTGCATTAGGTGTCCCACCACAGGCACTGGACTCCATAAAGGCAGAGTGCTGGGATTAAAGGCGTGCACCACCCCCACCCCTACCCCCACCCCCACCCCACTGAGATTTATTTTTCTTTTTATGTCTTTTTTCTTTATCTGTATTGTTTTCCAGAGTCATCCACGGAGCCCAGGCTGGTCTCAAACTCACTCGGTAGCGGAGGAGGACCTTGATCTGACCCTTCCCCCCCACCTCCCGAGTGCTGGGGCTCCAAGCATGTACCATCGCGCCTGGCTTCATATCTGTCTCATCGTGCATCAGGCTTCATTACAGTCCTTTTAGACTTTAGTTTGTGTGTGAGTATTCTGCCTGCCTGTAAGTTTGTGTACTACGTGCAAGTCCGGTGTCTAGAGAGCCACAAGAGGGTGTTGGATCCCCTAGGACTGACGTTCAGACAGTTATGAGCTACCATGTCAGTCCTGGGAACCGAACTGGGGTCCTCTGGAAGAGCAGACTGTGCTCGTAACTGTGGAACCATCTCTCCACTCCCTCCCCCCACCATCAGTGGTTTTAAGTTTTACTAAAAGCAAGTAACAAATAACAAAAAGTAAACATCTGGAGAGCTTATTTAGATTTCCCCTTGGCTTCAGGATGTGGTCAGCCCTGGACAGTCCGGCGACCCTAAGATTCGTGACAGAAGCCCCACTGAAGACTCCCCCGCCGTCCTCAGCCCCTCTTCCCCCGTCTCCGCGTCCTCCTTCTCATCCATGTTTCATGACAGTGCCATCTACCAATCTACTCTCACTTTTTCCTAAGTGCCACACCGAGATTTCTACCTCAGAAACGTGTTCAAAGTTCCCTCACAAAATTCCTCAAGTTTACAAGCCTACAGATTCTATCCAGGCTTATCTTTGTGCCCTTTCCATGGCTTATGAGGATGCCAATCACTTCCTCTGCCCTGAAAAACCACTTCTCATCTCGTTCCATGACAGCTTCCTTTTCTTTTGGGGGCGTGTCTTCTTGAATTGTACACCGAATCACCTTTTTTTTTTTCTTCTGCTGATGGCTCAGGTCCCGGGACTCTACAAGTGACTGCCACCTCTTACAGTGGTCATCCGCCATAGGCTTGCAGTTGTGCCAAACATAATATACCAATGCCTTCCTAATGGACACTTCCGGTTCCCTCCTTTATGTTGCAAATCCAAGTCCAGTGCCCTGCTAACCATCTCTAGCTGGTTTTGTTTTGTTTTTTGGGTTTTGTTGAGACAGGGTTTCTCTGTGTAGTTTTGGTGCCTGTTCCTGGATCTCGCTCTGTAGCCCAGGCTGGCCTCGAACTCACAGAGACCCGCCTGCCTCTGCCTCCCGAGTGCTGGGATTAAAGGCGTGTGCCACCACCACCCCAGCCTCTAGCTGTCTTTTACATGCTCCTCCACCTCACAACGTCAAGACAGAATTAGTTACTTTCCTCAAGTCCCAAACGCTCTCTCGCTGTTCTTCTGCACACTGCCATGTATCCATTTGCCTACGCCAGAGACCTAGAAGTCCCCCTCAGTTCTCTCCTGTTCCTCCATCTCCGCGGCCAGCCATCTTTTCTGAGTTTTACCCCATCCACGTTTTTCCGGTCCACACCTCTTTGCATCCCCCGTTGCACTACCCTGGCTCATCTACGAATATGTGCTGTTTGAGATCCAGTCAAGACATGCTTGGCGTCACTAAAGGGTGCAGAATAGAGGTCAGAGATGGGAGCCTTGGAGATATGTCCACGAAGAAAAGAGCCAAGCAGGCAGGTGCTCAGCCTAGAGCCCTGAGAAGGCTGTTGGAAGGACAGAGCATGTCGTTACGGAGGAACGGAAGGAGGAAGAGGGGGGGGTTTGGAAGGCAGCTGTGTTTACCGCTGCTCTGCCAGATTGGATTTTTGTTTGTTTTGGTTTTAGAGACAGGGTCTCATGTGTAGATCTGGCTGCCTGGAACTCACTCTGTAGCCCAGGCTGGACTCAAACCCACAGAGATCTATCTGCCTGCCTCGGCCTCCCGAGGGCTGGGATTTAAAGCGTGTGTAACCACGCCTGGCTCAGGCGGTATTAATGCTGTGTGTGAGCGGGGACACCCCCACGTGGAAGTCAGAGGACAACTTTGGGTCCTCACTTTCCTCTTTGGTTTAGGCAGGATCTCTATTGTTCACAGCGGCAGACATCAGGCTAGCTGGTCTACGGGCTTCAGGGATCCTCCCGTCTGCACCTTCCGGCCCTCAGTAGCAGAGCTAGGATTATGGACACCTAATACTGTGCCCAGCTTTATGTGGACTCTGAGGATTTATCCTCACGTCTGGACAGCAATTACTTACCCATGGAGCCATCTCTGCAGCCCCACACTGAGGTTTTGTTTGTTTGTTTTTGTTTTTTTGTTTTTCAAGAACAGGGTTTCTCTGTGTTGCCTTGGCTGTCCCAGAACTCACTCTGTAGACCAGGCTGGCCTCGAACTCACAGATCCACCTGCCTCTGCCTCCCGAGTGCTGGGATTAAAGGTGTGCGCCACCACCGCCCAGCCCAAAGTGAGGTTTTATTTAAGAAGGCAGAAATGGGTCTGGGGCTATAGCTCCTTTGAGGGAGCTAATTTTGTATTCCTAAGGACCTGAATCCAGTCTCCACAAAAAGAAGGTAAAATGGTCGTCATTCTGGCATAGAAATTGTCGGAATTGTGGCATATCATGGAGGAGGAGGTCATGACAAAGGAAAGCTGAAAAGAACCAGCGAGGCTGACAACGGGAGGTCCCTGGGGATTGTATTATTTCTCTCTTGTTAACTATATGTTTGCTGGACATAGTGGTGCACTATAATCCCAGCTCCAGGGAGGTGGAGGCAGGAGGATCACCAGTATGGGTTACCTAATGAGACCCCTTCTCATAAAAACAATTATCTGCACAAGGCTGGGCGTATTGACACAGTGGCCTGGCAGGAGGGAGGACCCCTGGCCCCACCCCTCCCTGAGGACTTGTGGAAATTCGATGATGGAGACATTCTCCTCAGGGGTATAGCCGCTAGTGCAGTTGTAAACAATTTACCCTGTTCCTGCAAGAAACCCTCCAAACAAGACATGCAAATAAGGGGACGTGAGCTGGGAAGAGGAAGTGGATCGGAGGAAGAGCAAGAGAGACAAAAGTGTGTGTGTGAATATGATCAAAATACCTTACACACACACACACACACACACACACACACACACACACACACACACACACACACACACACGAAAATGTCATCCTGAGACCCATTATTATGTAAAACTAATATATGCTAATAAAAACAATCTCAGTTCTTGGGAGGATGAGGCAGGAGGATTATTGTAAGTTCAAAGCCTAGGCCACACAGTGAGATTCAGGTTAGCTGGGGCTACAGAGTGAGGCCCTTATCTGAAAAACAAAGCATACAAAAATTCAGCGTGCCCTCGGTGGGTCTTCTGATCCGTCTCTTACAGACCTGAGAGGAAGCTATATATAGGCTGGGACTCCTGTTCTCAGCCGGAGCTCGAGGTCTTGTACCAAGCTCTCCCACCTTTAAGTCCAATTTGTTTGTTCTCATACATTCCACTGAGGCACCTCTCTCTCTCTCTCTCTCTCTCTCTCTCTCTCTCTCTCTCTCTCTCTCTCTCTCTCTCTTCTTGGTTTTTCGAGACAGGGTTTCTCTGTGTAGTTTTGGTGCCTGTCCTGGATCTCACTCTGTAGACCAGGGCTGAACTGTAGACCTTGAACTCACAGAGATCCGCCTGGCTCTGCCTCTCAAGTGCTGGGATTAAAGGCATGCACCACCACCGCCCGGCTGAGGTACCTCTAAGTCAGCAATGGCATCTAACTTCACCTCAGTGGAATCTCTGCCTTTCTCTTCTGTCCTAACTTTATGCTGTTTCTGTGCATCCGACTGTGTTTATTCTTTGAGACAAGGGTTTCATGTATCCAGGTTGACCTCCAGCTAGCAATGTAGTAAAGATGACCTTGAACCTCTGATCCTCCTGTCTTCATGTCCTGAGTACTGTGCGTACCACCACCATCGGTTTATAAGATGCTGAGAATGGGCTCCGGGGCTCTGTGCATGCTGAAGAAGTTCTCCACCAACTGAGCCTAGCCCCTGTTTGTTATATATTATAGGTTTGTTTGTTTGTTTGTTTGTTTGAGACAGGGTCTCTTGTAGCCCAGGCTGGTTTAGAACTTGCTATGTAGTCAAAGGTGACCTTGACCTTCTGATGCTCCCATCTCTCCACCTCCAAAGTTGTGGAATTATAAGTATGGACCATCATACCTGCCTTTCTTCAGTTTTGTTGGCTGGGTGGCTTCTGGGATGGATCCACAGAGCCTCAGAAAAGACAGGCAAGCCCTATACCATGGTACTACATCTAGTCCATAGGGCTCACATGATTGCACCAAACCAACTCAAGTATCCGGATAATTTCTACATCTTCAAGTAAACTGATCACTAAACCTGATCTAATCTCCAGGGTCCCTTTTGCCATGTACGGTA